CCGAACATTAAACACACTAACACTATTCCTGGGGGTTAAGTTAACGATAGGGTGGTTAATCTTCAGGTAAAGCGAGCTGGCGTGTCTAATCATCAAGAGAACTTTTTTTTTATGACTATACCAAAAATTTTGGGGCAGCGGAATACAGTATATAGAAAAAGAAAATACATTCAATTTTGAGCTTGGCCTTATCAGTAGGGGAGCCTGTATAGTTCTTTTAAAAGATCGGTCGTCGTTGGACGACGATTGGGGTTATTCGAGGTGCCTAGATTAACTAAACCATCGAATTCCGGTAGCTTGTGTCTCACATCCCATATCATGGGTTTTAGTAGGGTGCAGAGTGAATAAATATCGGAGGCAGGTGAAGCCTTCCCGTCATGGTAAAGTTCTGGGGCCACCCACCATCGATCAGTTTCGCGGGTTTTTTCCTTCACCGCCCAGCAAGAGGGGCTCATATCCCGTGTTATGAAGGGGTAAACTTCATTTATATTACTTTTACCCCCTACTGACAGGACGTCCGTAGACGATAAACTAAAGTTACAAAGGGTAATTTTAATTTTATTATTGGCCGATATTTCTATATTTATGTTATCGTTCATTATATAGTTGTGTATCACACCTAAATCGTGGACGTCTTGTACTACCTCTATTATTTTTATTAGAATGCCAAAGAACATTTTATCGTCGGTTGTGATGTAGCCTAGGTGACCCCACCGCCTTAGAGTTGTGTCGACTGGTGTTGTGACGATGAGACCTGGGAGTTCCGGACATAGCCTCAGGACATTTGGAACGCCTTTTATTCTCTTGAGCCACATGAGAGTTTTGGTCTCTCTTTCGGCCATCTGCAGGTTGCCCTGGAAGGTATTGAAGATTTTTAAGCAGACCTGGGGGTGTTGAGGGAATAAGTTCTTCGATAAGGTGAAACTCGTGGAGAATTCCCCTGCCGCAAGTATCCTTTCCCCCGACAAGATTTTGACGTCTATAAAGTCATAAAACACTTGTTCTTCAGGGGTATGAATCAAAGGGGTTAGGGTACTTTTATTAATGCGCAGGGAAATTTCCCTTTCTATATTTTTTAGAAGTTCATTCATTGTGGGCCGCTGATGAGGAGAGTGGGACAAACCCCGTTCGACCAATGTCAACAGGGATTGCTGTGGTTTTCTTTTGAGCGACCCCAGCAATGAGGAACACATGACCGAAGTAGAAAAAACATCTGATTTAAAAGATTCTTTCCCTTCATAATATAATTCCGGGGCCACCCACCAGTGTTCATCCTGGCGAATTTTCTCGTTGTAGGGGCCCGGATATTTTCCGTGGGTTATGAAGGGATGAACCTCTGATACCTTCATAGTTTCTTCAGTCGAAAGGAACCCTGCTAGACTAAAGTCTAGTAAGGTAGTTTTTATTTTGCCGTCTGCTGAGATATCGACACTTACATTTTCCTCGTTGATGAAATTATGGATCACCAAGAAATTGTGTATATTTTTTACAATTTTAATGACGTCAAATAGAATTTTTAAGGTATTGATGTCTTTGGTTTTCTTGGTGATCGCGCGAGCCCAGTGCCTGAGGGTTGTGCCTGGCGGTTGTGTCATCACTATGGCAGGGACCGACGGGTATAGGCACACCAGATTTGGGACACCTTTGACTCCCTTGAGGCACTTGAGTGTGTTTGCCTCCCTTTCGGCCATAGCCACGTTGCCGTGAAAAGTTTTGAATACTTTTGAACAGAGTGTTGAATGCTCCGGGTACATTCCGTCTGGTAAAGAATAAAGGGTGGCAAACTCACCTTCACTGAGCATTGTTTTGCCCTTTACCAGTTTTTTAAAACAATATTCTTTTGACAGCCCATCGGTGAAGGATGGAGTGTCAATATTATATTTAAGTTTCTTTCGGAGTAACCCTTTTCTGCCCTGGGGCTGCTCACAGCAATATTGCTCACAGCTGCCTTGGGGCTGATCACAGTAACACAGCTCACAGCTGCCCTGGGGCTGATCACAGTAACACAGCTCACAGCTGCCCTGGGGCTGATCACAGTAACACAGCTCACAGCTGCCCTGGGGCTGATCACAGTCCTGGAGCTGCTCACTGCCCAAGATGCTCTCGAGTAGAGCTTTGCACCCGCAGATCAAACTCAGCAAAATAAACATCACGGCTCCCACTAATAGGGTAAAGAGAAGAGTGTTTAATTTAGACCTTTCGGCCGCCTCTTGGTGAACCTTGACTAAGAGTTCGGCCAGGTAGTCCTTCTGCGCTTCCTTTAACAGTCTCGTTATGATCTCACCTACCAGCGGAACATACTCCCACTTGGAGATGAACCAATCTTCATGGAGGTCAACATCGGGAGCACCACCCCAGCGGTGCTCCCCGTGGATCACCACCACCTGGTGCGCCATGACCCGAATGGCTTGCTCAAGGTCAGCATTACGGAAGCGTCCCCACAACGCGACGGCTACGACCACCCAGACAAGGAAGGCCCACGAAAGTTTATTTTTCAAAATCATAATATATTTTCTTATGATATTTAATAACTAAACCCATGTTAGAAAAATAAAATTTCACAACTGGTGTATTCTTTGGGGATGTGAACACTGATATTTTGACTTACAACAGTTATTGTGGTGCTGGTTGTGGTAGTGGTGCTGATTGTTATAGTGATGGTTATTGTGGTGATGGTTATTGCGGTGGTGCTGGTTGTGGTACTGGTGCTGATTGTTATAGTGATGGTTTTTATGGTGATGGTTATTGTGGTGATGGTTATTGTGGTGGTGCTGGTTGTGGTAGTGGTGATGGTTGTTATAGTGATGGTTTTTATGGTGATGGTTATTGTGGTGGTGCTGGTTGTGGTAGTGGTGATGGTTGTTATGGTGATGGTTATTGTGGTGGTGCTGGTTGTGGTAGTGGTGCTGGTTGTGGTAGTGGTAATGGTTGTTATGGTGATGGTTATTGTGGTGCTGGTTGTGGTAGGGGTGCTGGTTGTGGTACTGGTGCTGGTTTTGGTACTGGTGCTGGTTGTTATAGTGATGGTGTTTTGGTGATGGTTATTATGGTGATGGTTATTGTGGTGATGGTTATTGTGGTGGTGCTGGTTGTGGTAGTGTGGTTGTTATGGTGATGGTTATTGTGGTGGTGCTGGTTGTGGTAGTGGTGCTGGTTGTGGTAGTGGTGATGGTTGTTATGGTGATGGTTATTGTGGTGGTGCTGGTTGTGGTAGTGGTGATGGGTGTTATGGTGATGGTTATTGTGGTGATGGTTATTGTGGTAGTGCTGGTTGTGGTAGTGGTGATGGGTGTTATGGTGATGGTTATTGTGGTGGTGCTGGTTGTGGTAGTGGTGATGGTTGTGGTAGTGGTGCTGGTTGTGGTAGTGGTGATGGTTGTTATGGTGATGGTTATTGTGGTGGTGCTGGTTGTGGTAGTGGTGCTGGTTGTGGTAGTGGTGATGGTTGTGGTAGTGGTGATGGTTGTGGTAGTGGTGATGGTTATTGTGGTGCTGGTTGTGGTAGTGGTGATGGGTGTTATGGTGATGGTTGTTTTGGTGATGGTTGTTATGGCGATAGTTGTTATGGTGATAGTTGTTTTGGTGATGGTTGTTATGGTGATGGGTGTTATGGTGATGGTTGTTTTGGTGATGATTGTTTTGGTGATGGTTGTTATGGCGATAGTTGTTATGGTGATAGTTGTTTTGGTGATGGTTGTTATGGTGATGGGTGTTATGGTGATGGTTGTTATACAAATTTATAACAAATTTGTATTATTTGGCAAATCACATGACGAAGGAAGTCTTCAAATGTGCAAATCTGTTGACATTGCCACCTGCAACATGTATAAGCTCGTTTTTTCTCATCTGCCTGTGGTTCATTAAAATAACGTTATATCTCTTGAACTCTATTACTTAGTCAAAGCATCACCTGTGAGATGTGAAGGTTTTGAGAAAATTCTGGACAAATTCAGTCCTACAAAGCATGTTTCCTTCCACACGTGCAGAGTAGGTGACTTACTCTTGAAGATATTAATGGGCGTCTTATAGGACAATATCCTGCCATTAACCTCCAAACTCTGCACTTAGATCTCTCTTCACATGCTGATAGACAGAAATATGAGAAAATCAATAAAATTGTGTTAGAAACAAGGTTGTTTTGATGGAATTACAATTCTTCAAGTCAATCCTGTTCATTTTTACAAAGCTGGCAAAGACCTTTTCAATGTGAAGCTTCTCTCATTATATATATATATATATATATATATATATATATATATATATATATATATATATATATATATATATATATATAGTATATATATATATATATATATATATTCTTCCTACAGGTCATTTGACCTGTGCCCTGGTGGGCGAATTCCCGTAAAAAAAAATTTCTTTCTGTTATAACACCGTACTTGAAATGAACTGTACTGCACACACATACAGTACATACATCGTTCATTATTATTATTATTATTATTATCCAGATGTCCTCACACTCCAAAATGAAGATATTTTATGGAGAAAGACATTATTGCGTGACAAGAGACGTGACCGATGGCCCAAGCGGCTAACAAGCCGATCAGTGGCGAAGAGGATAATTATTAAGTAAAAGATTATTGGATTGTCATTTATATACAGTATTGCATTATATAATAGCTTTAGATACCAGTTTCAAACGGTATACTCTAAAATAATTGAAAACTGAAATTTTAAGAGGACAACGATATTTATTAATGAGCGAAAGTAAAGGAAAATAACTTTCAAATCCCAAAGGAATTGTGTTAGTAGTAGTGTGTAAAGCAGCAGCAGACGCTCACTACCGGGGACTGATCAGCAAGTACAACAATCTATTGAACTTTTAACTTATTTTCAGACGTTATTGATTGACAAATGTTAGAATAACTACAAACTTGTATTAATTGGGATTTTTAAATGTGTTTTATGAGGCATGACAGCTGTAAAGCTTACTTATTGAAAAGGGTTTTATTTTTACCTTTATCCTCCTCGCCACTGATCGGCTCGTTAGCCGCTTGGGTTTTGACAGGATGGTCAAAGCTCTTGCACTTTTTTTTATTAGTTTTTTGTTTTATACTGTATTTAAACATGACCGCCGTCAGCAGAAGAGGGGGCTATTGAAGCTCCAGACATAAGACCCACTGCCTTATGGTTGTTAGTGCTTGATTTAATACTTAACCTATGTAATCCATCTAAAGGTAAAATTATTGGTAATTTTTCACTTATTGCCACTACGAAATCGAAGTTGAAATTATGTTTTTTCGATGGTTTTTGATGTATTGTGAACGAATTTGACCTTCATTTCTGACGCAAACCAATAGTTTCTGAGATAAGCCCCACTCTCATCTCACAATCTCGAGATTTGCTATAAAAATTAAGGTAAAAAGTGTTCAAAACTCATTGGAAACCATCGGAAAATCAGATTTCAACCTGACTTAACCTAACCAGGGAGCTCCACAATCGTTCCATGTTCTGTGTGTGTACAGTCACGGTCCGAGTAATACCCAAATGTAGCCGCAATGAAGTCAAATAATGGTCCTACTTGAATAAATCGGACTGCCAATCACTTCTCGACTAGTATTTGGTGTCACGAAGTAAAAAAAATTGGAAATCGTAATTTAATCTGAGTTAATTGATCGAGTGCATGTACCTAACCTAACCTAACCTCGACTAGTATTTGGTGTCACAAAGTCACAAAAAATTGGTAAACTTAATTTAATCTGAGTTAATAGATCGCGTGTATGTACCGAGGGAGCGAGTAATTACCCAAATGTAGCCGCAATGAAGTCAAATGATGGTCGTACAAGCGTAAATTGGGCTGTGAATCACTTCTCGATTATTATTTGGTGTCATAAAGTCACAAAAAATTGGTAAACTTAATTTAATCTGAGTTGTGTTGTGTTAGGTTAGATTAGGTTAGGTTAGGTTAGGTACATGCACTCGATCTATTAACTCAGATTAAATTAAGTTTACCAAATTTATGTGACTTCATGACACCAAATACTAGTCGAGGTTAGGTTAGGTTAGGTACATGCACTCGATCTATTAACTCAGATTAAATTACGATTTCCAATTTTTTTTACTTTGTGACACCAAATACTAGTCGAGAAGTGATTGGCAATCCGATTTATTCATCGAGGACCATTATTTGACTTCATTGCGGCTACATTTGGGTACATTTGGGTAATTACTCGGACCCGTACCGTCATGTATGAACAATTGAACATATATAATAATGTTAGGTAAACTTGCATAAGCGCACCACACACTGTTAGAAAGTCAAAAAGATATTTTTCTAGTGTATTTGTGTGTGTTTAGACCGAATATTACCTGCATTTCCGGCGGAAATTGGCCTTTTTTTCATAGGTATTTTTTTATGGGACGTTTTCCGGAAAAAATAATGGCTAAACTAATTAAAAATACACCAAAAAACACTAGAAAAACCAAACCTAACCTAACCTAACTGACTCTCACCATATGATGGAATCACCTATTTCTTACATTATTGCCGTCTCTTCTTTGTCTTTGGGATAAGGGACGAGTTAGGACAACGCCACATATATTTTTGCGATATTTACATTCAGTCTTGCACTTATGACACTTTACTGAGGTTGGGAGAACACCATGCCATCAAAAAAGGGCTGCAGTTTCTTCGTTTATTTCCCCAAAACTTGCAATCCGCTCCATATAATTTAAGTGACACCCATCACAGAATTCCATGGTCGGAAATGAATATGAATTTGGAAATACAGTATGAGAAACCCAAAATAAAAGGCAATTTTGATTGGGCCAAAAATACCGCAAGTTAAACCAAAAATCATTTTAATAGGTTGCAAAAAAAAAAATGCCTTTGATTGGCGGCGTGACGAATACGGGAATGCATGAAGGGGACATGCAGTGTGGGAGGTGAGGTAGGCGATAATGGCAGAAGAATAATGGAAGAAAATAGAAAATTTTGGATACGCTATCTCCGTTATTATACACTTGCACCGGTAATATAATAGATGAAAATTATCTTATTATTAGACGTCTTATTCGAATATAATAATAGATTAGTGTTAGGAATGTGTGGTGTGAAAATGCAATAATACCTAATGTTAAATATCTCACTTAAGCATAATTTGCACCAGAAATGCCATTGAAGGTAATTATTCGTTTTGGTAAATGTTTACGAAACTGTTATCACTAGAAGTTGTTTGTTGATTTGGTATTATTTTACTTTCGGACAGGGCGCCCCCAAAAGTTATAAACTACTGAAACATTTACATCTCGCTATTCTGAGCATTTTGAACCCCATATATACCAGGCAGAAATGGATAATAGAAGCAGCCTGGGTAATGTCATTGACCAGTCTCACAATGGCCCTGGTGAAGGTTGGTTGTCATTTGTGCTCCTAAGATTATTTTAAGTTTATTGCCGAGTTTTATGAGAAAGACGATTATTCTATCCAATTCTTACATATCCCTGGTTCTTCCAATTCTAACTAAGGTATTGTACTTTTGGACATGGCGCGCCCCAAAGTTTTTAACAACAGAAACATTTGGGATAGTTTAAGTTAGGCCTACCAGGGGTCAGGGGGCGGAGTCCCCGGTTAGGGGTTATGTTAGATTAGGTTTTGTTAGGTCAGATGACTCTTGTTTTCAACCCCCCACCCAAAAACCCCGATTTCTCAGGCTCCCCCCCCCCCATTATTGATGGGGGGGGGCAAAAAGTATCAATTTCTGCCCAAAATGAAGGTCAGAATCGTTTACAACACATCAAAATACACTGGGAAAACATATTGGTCAACCCCTAAGGAATCCTGTCCTAAAGTAAAAATATATTGTTGATTTTCTTTATTTTGCTATGCTTATTATTTTGATAATTTTAAGTATATTAAAAGAAATGACAACTTTCTATTATATTTTTTTTTATTTTTTACGATTTTTTTAAATTACTCTATCCTACGATTTTAAATTCCTTGTTAGAGGACAGGGCATGAAAGATGAAGGAAATTACTGGGTAAAAACACGGCAAACACTGATGTTATGGCATTAAACTTGCGTCTCCAGGTGCATTTCAAACGCCACAATTATTTTCTTACCGTAAGTCACTTAATTCCCTACCGCTGCTATTCCTTCCTCTCCAATTGTATAAATTGTGTTCCATTATTCCTGTTCCTTTTAATTAAAGAATTACGCATCTTTAATAGGTTTAGAATTACGTATATACCACTTTATTCTTCTTTTGTTTATTAAATGCATTCTCTGTTCTCTTTATATCTATAGTGTAGTGTGAACATCAAGTGATGATTACGTGTTAGAGTGTCTTGTTTACATCATGTTTGATATACGTTGTTGTGATTATTCTTCTTGCTAATTATCAGGCCTAGTTCTTGATGATTCTTGTTTGTTAGCTTTTATATTGTGACCATGGTTTAATTAACGCAACATTAAGGTAAGTTGTGTACGATTTTCTATTAGCATTACAGTAAGTCCTCGTATAACGTCGGCCCGCTTAACGTTGTTTCGGTACTACGTCTCTAATCTTTAGATGCCAGAAATTCATTTAGCGTCCCGATGACTCGGTACAACATTGTTTTACGTCATCACGGACTACTTTTTTATGGCGCATCACCCTCTCTTGTCTGGCCGCACTACGCTCTCTCGGCTCTGCGCAGAGTCTCAGTGACTTGCCACCCTCCTCCACTCCCTCCATACTCCTCCCGCACTCCCTCCATACTTCTCCACTCCCGCCATCCTCCTCCTTCGCCCCACTACCCACCACACACTCGCTCTACCACCTCTGCCCATCAGTGAGTACCAATACAAACTTTGTACGTAGTTGTATATATATGCACTATTTTCTATAGAAATGGCAATGATTTTCTGTATATTTAATGTATTTCATGTGGCAAAGGGAGGCTCAGAATCGTAACGCTTGTATTTTATCTATTTCTTATGGGCAAAATTGACCCGCTTAACGTTGTTTCATTTGACGTCGAGTTTTTAGGAACGTAACCCCGACGTTAAGCGAGGACTTACTGTATATTAAACACAGAAATGGAAATGACAATGCATGGAACCTAATAGATCCTCACCTAACAAACCCTGGGTTTCCATTTCTGTGTTTAATATCATGCTAATAGTGTGCAAAATTTTTTTTAACCAAATCGCACATTCCCTTCGGGTGATAACAGTTTCGTAAACCTTTGCCCTCGTTTTAGCACACCCTTGAATTTTTTCATCAGATATTTGATTTTCTGATGTATTTTGATGTGTTTTGTTCAGATCTAACCTTCGTTTTCATGGGAAATGTGTCGTTTAAAAAAAAAAAAAGTGTAAGTCATCCTTGATGAAAAATGGTTATTTTCCATTAAAAACGAAGGTGAGATCTGAACAAAATACATCCAAGTACATCAGAAACCAAACATCTAGACCCCTAACTTTCACTAAATTAACCAACCTTAACCTAACTTAACCTACCCTCACTTAACCCCAGCGGAGGCAGGCAATGTGACATACCCTCATGGCTCCAGACAGCTCGCTGTGGGACAAGAAATGGCGGGTGGAGAATTATTGATTTAATTTCTTAGGCTTTCCTCACTTGTGCGATTTTTCTGAAAGAACATGTTTACAAGAGGCTTCAAGGGTTGAGGAATGTATTACTGTACTCTATGATGTAGAAATTGCCAAAAAGTAATTGCTTCTATGCGATTTGAAAATATGTTAAACCGAATAATAACCCCATTGAAGAAAAGTGTCATAGAATAGTAAAAATTACTGATTACAACTATAAAATTCCCAAGACTTGTTTGTGGCAACATGTGAAATACTGGAGTACCAAATTCTTGTTTAAGTCATCCAGCGATTTTAAGGATTTTAAGTTTTGAAATCAGTAGTATAGACAGTTCTAAGACACTTTCTTCTAGGGCATTTCTTGCGCTCATGATTACTTTAAAAGAAAATCTTCAAAAAAAAAAGGAAAATCATCATATTTTTTATTTTTGCTCTAATTTGTTGGAAGTTGAAATTATGTTTTTCTACCGCTAATTACACCAAACCTAACCTAACCTAACCTAGGTAAAATAATCATATCGGTTATCCAGCGATTTCTAGGATTATAAGTATTAAAAGCAGTAGTACTTACCTTAATTAGACTCGGAAGACTCAGAGTTGGGGTCATCCTCTTCGTCATCCAAAGGTGTTTGTCAGCTTTATAGCTACAGGGCTGGTTACAGTTCGTGCAAGTAACCTCAGTTGGCAAAACACCGTGTTCCTGGAGAATTTCAACGCCTCACCATCGTTACTGTAATATTCAACGTGAAATCTTGCGATGGCTTGGAAGTAATCAACATCACAGCCATTGCACAAGGGAGACATCTTGGAAATACAATGTATATTCAAATTCAAGGGGGTTGTGGCTGGAGCCTATACCAAGCTGTAATTGGTTGATCCCAAATCATACCCACCAATTAATGTGTCAGATTCTTCCAAAGAATAACTGTGCTTGTGTCAGACTCTAGTGCATGTGGAGTACAGCATACTAGCCAACACATGAACACACAGGAGCTAACTGGGATGGTGGTAACACCAACGACACTTCCAAAAATTTATTATAATTTTCTCTGAAAGTAATCATGAGCAGAAGAAATGCTATAGAAGAAAAGTGTCTTATAATTGTCTAAACTACTGATTCCAAGACTTAACATTCTAAAAATTGCTGGATGACCAAAATGAAAATAATGCCATCTATAAATTACTTAGGCTAATGTTTGTAAAGGTTACAGGTGTAGTTGGTGGGTACAGGCACCCACTGCACAATGGAGCAACCAATGAATCCTACTAGTTCAAGTCTGCCCTTAAGGAAAAGAGCACAGTCGCGACATGAATACATTGATCTGCTGGCCCATCGAAGGCAGTCCAGTGATCTTAGATGGGCAGCCCGTGAATGGCACTCAAGAGGCAACTACAGATATGGAAATCAGCTGACACGTGAGGAGGTGTTTGACAGAGTTATGCAGTCTGACAGAGTGAAGCATACTATCAGTCAGGTGAGAGAAAGCTATAATACTAAACAAAAGTTGTAAATTTAGTGCCTAGTGTTAATTACTTTTACTACTTTAGTGTAATACTAATCATGTTGAAGAGGTTTTAATGTTTTATGTTCATCTATTCTATTTTCTATTAATTAAAAAAAAAATCTGAATCCCTGGTTATGATCATGGAGTGAACAGATGGTGCTTTTTTGTACCGGCAGCCCTTGTTTTTACATTGTCACCTCCCCATCCCCCAAAAAAAAAGAGGACTGTACGAGAGCTGAGACTATGTGAGAGTTTTTATGTTTACACAGTACAGCATTAATAAACATTTACAGAAAGCCAACAGTAATTCCAGGCAAAACCTGAAAGACATCAAAGCATATAAATATGTTTACAGTCCTCCAGTACACTATACAGAACACCATGTTGTGGAAACATTTTTGGAAAGATGTTTAAAAAAAAACATCACCACAACAATTTATCGGAGGGTTAACTGAACTACAGGCAGTCCCTAATTTTTAAATGGTTCCATTCTTGAAAAACCTTTCATAACTTGATTTTTTGTAAATTGGATCACATTTTCTCATAATGTCCCATTAAACAGACAGTACTCCATAGTGTCTCATTAAACAGGTAATACCCCCAAATTACAAAGATTTCGTTTATGAAAATCTGAAATTATGTGTCCCGTGTTTCAATTTACTCTGTACATACAAAAATTCTGAAGTTACAATTTTGTTTTCCTGCACCAAAACTGGTCAGTTTGTAAACACAACTAACTAAAGAACAAAACATACAAGTTAAAAGCAAAGAAATGAAGTGGAGGAGGCTGCACTCAGTGGGTGAGGAGCGACTTTGTTGTGACCCACGTCATGTTGTTGGGCAGGTGGTGAGGATGGTGAAATCTGCATTATTTATTGGGTGATCGGAAGTGTGACTATGGTCTTAACCACCATATTCAGCAATCGGAGACTACAGTATACACACAATATATATACTGTATACAGGTGTACAATATACAGTATACTGTATATATACAGGTACTCCTCGACTCACGACCTACTTGACTTACGACCACCCGGACATACGACCGCCTCAGTCGTACCAAAATTTTTTCAACTTACGTATTTTCGGGTCCCGACGTCAGTGATTGCGCTGTGTACTGACAAAATTTTCGTTTGTAATTCCCTTTAAAATGGCTGGCAAGCTTAAAAGTGAGAGATTTGTGGTGCTGAGAAGAAAAAGAGACACTCATTTTAGATTTTCTATGTATTATTTAAGCATTTTCGGCTTACGACCTGGATTTGGGTCCCTAACCCCGTCGTAAGTCGAGGAGCAGCTGTATATATATAGACAAGCTTTAGACAAGCTTAATGATCTTTGCCCTAGTATTACATTCAAAATTGAAAGAGAAATAAATGGATCCCTTCCATTTCTTGATATGCTTATCATTAGAAATGGTCATAACTATAAATTTAAGGTGTACAAAAAGTCTACACAGGTAGACAGTTTCATACTTTTTTATCGAGTCACCTGGAATCTACCAAAATGTCAGTTTTTTTTGCTATGTATTTTAGATCACTGCGTATTTGTGAAGCTGAATTTATTGATGAAGAACTGAAACACATTCATTCCATTGCTCATAAACTTGGGTACCCATCATTGTTTGTTGATCATTGTTTTAAAAGGGCTAAAAATTCCTTTCCTTCTACTCAAACCAGGCAAATTCCTACACTTAAGAATATTTTGACTGCCTTATCACAGTGAATTTGTCCCGTTAGTTCAGTCCCTTAAATTTTAAATATTAATGTTGGTTTTAAGTATGACTCGACTATTACCAATATATTAATCAAGAATAGCCCAACTTTAAATGTAAATGGAAGTGTTTACTGCATTCCATGTGGCAACTGTGGTGGGAATTATTTAGGACAGACTGGGAAAGCATTGCAACTCAGAATTAAACAGCACAAGTACAATATCAGAACAGCATCTGAAAGCAGTGCACTGTTCATTCATGTTAGGAATAATAATCATCCCATTGATTGGGAAAACAGCTTAGAGGTGTACAAATCATCATGTGTCACAGAAAGACTTCTGGTTGAAGCTAGTTTGATTAGGGAATTAAATTCTATTAACCTTAGTGATGGTCAGTACAAAACTGATATGTTACACAAATTTATTTGTCAGTGGCCCAAGGATAAAAATGCTTTGAAAGCCTTGGTGTTAGATGTAGGATAGATAATTAGTGGGTCCCATATTTTTTACCTGACTTAACTTGACTAGTCACGTCGCCCTTTCTCTTAAGCTCCTCTGCGTGTGTGTTGGTGTGCGGATTAGTGGATGTCATGATTATGACCTGACCTCATGTTTAATTAGGTCACCCTGTGTATTTAAGCCTCTCTCCATCCATGTTATTCAGTTGCCTCTAAAGATGTCTTGAATAAAGACGAAACCTAAGGTGCTCCATTGTTTCCCCTTTCCCTGTGTGATTTTATCAAGATTTATCTTATCTACGTTTTTTATTGTGGATCTACATAATATATGTATATACTGTATACAGTATTAACCCCGCTTTACACGGTTTCACTTTCCGCGATTTCTCATTTACGCGGTACCTTGCCAGAACCGGACTTTCACTTTCCACGGTGCATCTACTCATATACGCGGTGAAGTATAATTTTTTATTTTTTTTATTTAGCTCATAAAATTCATACAAATTACCCGGCCAGAATATAATTTACATTGCTGGAATTCTTACAATATGATGATCATTTTGAATATAAACATCATGGATTTTGCATTAGACATACAAATTTTAGATCTAATGTAATAATTTGGTTTACACAAAGCAAATATTTTATCCTTTGTGCAGAATATATGAAGTTTACATTCAAAATATTCCCTGACCTGCAAGGAATCCAGAAATGTCAATTATATTATCCTAACTTTAGTCTGAGTTATTATTTATTACTAAAAATGTAAATATACTATTTTCTCCCAAAGCTTCTCTGGTAGGGAGGGAGGGACCGACCCAGCTAGGGCGGAGTATTTTGATTGACAGATAGTGTCCTTGAAGAATATTTCTTTGTTTATTTACTGAAGATATATGTTTTAGCTCATAAAATTCATACAAATTACCCGGCCAGAATATAATTTACATTGCTGGAATTCTTACAATATGATGATCATTTTGAATATAAACATCATGGATTTTGCATTAGACACACAAATTTTAGATCTAATGTAATAATTTGGTTTACACAAAGCAAATATTTTATCTTTTGTGCAAAATATATGAAGTTTACATTCAAAATATTCCCTGACCTGCAAGGAATCCAGAAATGTCAATTATATTATCCTAACTTTAGTCTGAGGTATTACAGTATTTATTACTAAAAGTTAAAATCTAGTATTTTCACCCACACTTTTCTCTGATAGGGAGGGAAGGTGCGGGGTGGGGGAGGGTTGGGACCGACCGACCCAGCTGGCGTGAGTGTGAGGAGGGGGGGGAGGCAAGGTGGGGTACTTTGATTGACAGATAGTGTTGTGAAGAATATTTTTTTTTTTTATTAACTGAAGATATTTGTTTTAGCTCATAAAATTCATACAAATTACTCGACCAGAATATAATTTACATTGCTGGAATTCGTACAATATGATGATCATTTTGAATATAAACATCATGGATTTTGCATGAGACATACAAATTTTAGATCTAATGTAATAATTTGGTTTACACAAAGCAAATATTTTATCTTTTATGAAGTTTACATTCAAAATATTCCCTGACCTGCAAGGAATCCAGAAATGTCAATTATATTATCCTAACTTTAGTCTGAGGTATTATTTATTACTAAACGTTAAAATCTAGTGTTTTCACCCAATCATTTCTCAGAGAGGTAGGAGCTAGTGAGTTGTTCACTTTACTCGGTTTTCACTTTCCACGGTACCCTGTGGGTTCAATTGACCGCGTAAATTGGGGTATTACTATATATATATATATATATATATATATATATATATATATATATATATATATATATATATATATATATATATATATATATATATATATATATATATATATATATATATATATATATATATATATATATATATATCGACGGGGGTTACGTTCTGTAAACGGCAGTCGATAAAGAAACCGTCGATACCGTGATGGTTACGTAATTTTTCTAACTATTATTAGCATATGTTGAATAAATGTACCTTTAAGCATTAATGCGTTTCCTTTACACATAACCTTAAATAATAGTGTATAAATAATAATATAATAAGTGGACAAAAATACTAGCAAACTTACGATTTCATTTATTGAAGTGAACATCGGTCCTTACAGTAAACAATACAGTGTACAGTATATACAAGTGTGATGATTGAGGCTTATTAAAAGCCTGACCAGTCGATAATCGAAACCGTCGATAAAAAATCCGTCGATAAAGAGGGAGTACTGTACTATATATACTATATATATACTATATATATGCTGATAACTTTTTTCTTCATAGGAAAAAAGAAAACACGAAGTTCCTAAGCACTTTCTTGTAATTTGCATCTTCTGGTTATCAGCATATAAACAGATCACACGCACCTACAGTAATTTATTTGCATATACTGTACGTTTATACTGTATATAAATATATAACAGCGAGAATCCCTCTTAGCCCCAATTAATCCGGTAAATAAAGGTTTTACTGTACGATACAGTATATTTAAATGGATTAACTAGTAAATTCCGGCTGATGTTTGTAGACCATATCCAAAAACTCGAGGACCCCATCCCATTAACCCTTCCGTGGTCTTTCAACACAGATTGCATCACCAAGCACTCCCATGCTGGCCCCACCCCTCCAGTAAGCAGAAATTCTGGAACAGTGGACCGGCCCTATTAACTACCTAAGTTCCTCCCACTAGCCTCTTGGTCTGCCAGATGTGTCTCTAAGGGTACAATTTGGGGTTTGGATCGTTCTACCCATTGTTTACTTAAATGAAAAAACTGTTCCTGTAACGTCGAAAGACTGGGAGGGGGTGAGATTGTAAACAATGCTATTTACATCAAAAGACCGTGAGGTGTTGAGATTTCCGACCATGGCCTGGAGTACCAGAGGGATAAGTTGCCCTATAATGCAAGAGCTGCCTGTCTAAGGCCTCAGCCAGAAAAATGGATTTCAGGGACAGTTCTCCTTTTATGACTGAGATCAGAGTGGGTGAGGGGTCTTTCTGTGCTGAGTAAGATTGTCTAACATTAGCCAAATAAAATAGTAAACTGGTGTTATGTGGTGAAGGGGTTAACCTTCCTAGATCTCAAGGACATGACTTGAGGTTGTTAGAAGTAAATGCAGGTAGCTGTTGTGTGTGTGTGTGTGTGTGTGTGCACGCGTGTGCGTGCGTGTGTGTGTGTGTGTGTGTGTGTTTTTTTTTTTCTTGATAATGTAGCAGTCATGATAAATTAGTTCTTGTGTTTTTAATGACAACAGCCATTTTGTGAAGATCCCTTCAAAGGCTCTGGTCGTAGCTGATATGAGACACTAGCTACTCTTTCAAAATATGATGTGAGTTCTAGGTTGGTCTGATATAAGTCACCTACTGGTTTCCATCATAATACTGTATGTGATTTCAGTCTTTATTTTCATATTTTATAAAAATAATGTTTTTTTTCACCCATAGCTGGTGGTTGGTGGAAGTGATCATGATGTACTTGTGGCTGAAGCTGAAGGGATTCTGGAACAAATGGGGCACACCCAGGAACTTGCAATCATCCGTCAGTTTGCTTTTGTCCTTCCAAAGATCATGAAGAGATTGTATGACAAGGTGCTCATCAATGAGGATGGAGTTGAGAAGGTAAATTTGGATAAATATCATAAGTACTGCACTTGTTACTTTATGTTAAGAATATTGTGCAGGTGTCAGTCATGAACTTTGAAGGGAAGAGAAAGAGACAAAGTAAAGAGAATAAAATTTATATCCTTGAGCACAATATTAGGAGTAAACAGAGTTCATAAGTTTTGAAATGTCAGCTTTGCTGGCAAAGTGTACTTTGGCTCTGCAATACATTCATTTCATTGTACACAGACTTGAACTGTTCTTTTCGGTCGTGTATTTGGAAGCCATTCAGTTAGAAGGCAAATAACCCCGGATTGCAGTAATGTCTGTATGTAATGAGTTGGCTCTCATTGCTGCTTTCTCTTGAAGTTTCATGAGGTCGCTAACACAACCATTTTGTTTTCACTTGGTCTAGTTGCTGGGCATATATTTATCTCGCCTTTTATAACTGACCCAGTGGGTTGAGCAGCTCGTTTACTACACTGACGCACTGAAGAGTTGACCCCCTAGACTTTCACTTCAAATTTCTTGCCATTTACACTCACAGGGGTACAGTATAGCTTTCTCTACATTCCTAGGTTATTTCTCGTATATAGTAGCCTTGTGTTATTTCGTAATTTTTTTCTTTCTAATTTTATTTTGTATTACAGTATTTTGCTGGTCCTCTCCATGGCATTGCACCCAAATGTAATTTTGTACACTATCTTAATTTACAGTAATTCTTATTATATTCCTTTTGCAACTGGGGAAACCTGTGAGGCCTGAGCTCTTAACATATTGGTGAGAGTTACATGCTCTCCCGCTGTACCTTAACACCCTAATGTAAAAATTGTAAGATAATTTGCCTCAATAAATCTGTGTATCTTCACTCAAAATGTGTATGTTTTAGAATTAAAAGTACTATATGTACAATAATTCCTAGATTCGACCTCGAGTTTCTGAATTTGACTTCCATACATTCCATGTCCTGCTGTCACCCACATGACCAGACGGAGGGCGAGTCAGCTGTTTAGTCCACAACTACACATACTTTAATGTACGCTAATAGATTGCTTTATATAGGTTGGCTTGGCAAATTAATATTAGTCACACATGTAAAATTTTTATCGTCTATTAAGTTTTTAATTTTTAGTTTCACCATTATATTGAATTACTGTACATTATTGTATTTGGTAGATATACTATATGGTAAATAAAAAAATGTGGTAACTTTGCAGTGGGTGGCCAGCCACATGGACTGTAATTGGAGAAATTTACTTTGCTTATACATAAATATTTATGGCTCTTGATGCAGCTACCAAAATTTTGTATTTTCAAACATACAAGTATGAATACAATATACTGTGTGCTTGTATTTATTATAAATACAATGCAGTACCCAAATTTCAAGTGTATCAAGTGCCATAAATGTTTTTAAGTAGGGTAATTGTGCACACACAACCCAGCCACACAGCTCACATTAACCTAGCCAGCCATGACGTTAACATCCCTGACAGACAGACATTTATTGAGTTATATGCCTGAAAAGTATTACCTGTATAATTAGCCACTAAACAAGCAGGAATAGAATGATAATAGTGATACACAACCCTCGCATATAGTTGTGTTAAAAGCTCATTTTCTCAATTTTTTTACTCTTGGGGGAGACAACCATGCTTATGGCTTAACCATGCAAGTGAACCGCCCCTCAAACATAGTAAAATGATCGTCTACTTTACAGTAAATGTAATCACCTCAAATGATGCCTGAATTCCACATCCTTAATGAAGTGATTCAGGCTATTCCTAACCCAGATTACATTGGAGTTACATCTGGGATATCGGCTGGGGTGAACTAAACCTGTGTCAGGCCATGGGAGGTGTCGGACCATGTATTTCTGGATCAGGGAGGTACAACCTATATCAATAGATCTACAAGTGTAAAGTTCTTGTGTGAAAGTTGACAATCCGTGAATACCGTAAGCTCTTGTGTGAACATTTTTGTATTTCTTAATGGCACAGGATAATTATTCTTTGACACTTTTCAAGTAAAAAATGCATATCATCGTTAAAGATATGTACAATATCATGATTATTTGCCTGTAACCTTTTTTTTTTTTTTACATACAGGAAATTAATTTAGCAGATTTGAATTTAGGCCTCTATAATGTATTGGTCTGCATAATTCTTTGGGGTGGGAGGACTATTCCCCCACCAGTGGGTTGCCAAGTGACTTACACCTTGGGAGAAAATCAGCTTGAGAGTCCCTGTCCACTCACTTCCTCATCAATTTCTTAATCACTCTTTCCACAACTTTCATAACCTGATCTAACATCTTCAGGCCTCTGATATTGATAATAACAGTTTATTTAGCCAGAAGAACTCAGATACAGAGTCAATAAAAATCATAATATTAACATGGCTGAGCCAGTTGAGAGCCTGAGCTCTCTTGTAGGCACCTGATATATACCGTACAATTTATCTCAGAGAAGTATTATGTAACATTTAGTATCATCTGGAATGGTACACATAGAATGGTGGTACTAAGAGCATATCAAAATGTTACCATGGTTACTTCGATATTTATTTATTTTTATTTTTTTTATTTTTTTACATTTATATTATAAGTACATAATATATACAAACTTTACAGTGGAGTTGATATACATAATTATGATAAGGGAGGGAAGCAGTACAACATGGGTTGTATTAAGGTGGAACAAGAGGACAGAGCTGTCAGTATCATGTCTAGTTGGCATATATATTTATTGCAGTGGTAATTTGTCTACGGTATCTACATGATAATTTCTGAAAAAACGGTTTTGGTGGTATACAATAAAAGCAGGAATATAAAGTAGGTATTACAAAAAATATTAATACTTAGACAATAGATTTTTTTAAGAGATGATTTAAAGGGAGTATAGTCTTTGCTCGGATGTAGTTCCCATGTTCAAGTGTATCACCTTTACCCTTGTGAATATTTATAATGACATGCTTCAGCCATTAATTGGAACAGTACTGTACAGCCGTGGTCCTCTGGTCCCCAAGATATGCTAGGGACTGTTAGTTGATTGAAAATGTCCAAAGGAGAGCCACCAGACTGGTGCCTGCACTTCGGCACCTCAGCTACCCAGAGAGATTAGAGCGCCTGCAATTGCCTAGCTTATACTACAGACGGGCAAGGGAGACTTTATTGAGGTGTATAAGGGTACTACTCGGTCTAATGCCCTTACCTGGAGCTGGCAGACACGTGCCCCACAGGGGGTCACAACTCGGGATTGAAGTCCAGAAAACTGTGGGGGCAAAACTTTTCGGAGAGTGTTGTGATGGCACCGAGTGTGAGCTCTTTAAAGACCAAACTTGACCAGCACTGGAGCAGGTTCAGATACATTCAGAATCACTGCATGCCCAGTTCTTGCCTACAATGCGTAACAGAGACATGACCGACTGCCCAAGCGGCTAACGAGCCGATCAGTGGCGAAGAGGATAAAAAGTAAGTAAAAGTAATTCTTGCGCCTGGCCGGATCCTTTCTGTGTGGCAAGTCAAGTGGGGTGTGGAGTTGGGGGAGGGCAGGTGGCATGCGATGCAAATTTCTCATCAGAGCATGAGGAAATTCATGAAAGAAGGAAGGAAAGGATGGATGTAATTTTGTTTTCACTATATTATCTTAGGTTTACATACTGTACTTGGAAGAGTATATAACAGATAAGGACCTTTATTTTATGACTACTTGTACTGCATTATGATGTGACATACATTTCTTTATTTATAACTTTTTTCAGGTTGTTGTTCAGGTTTTAAACAACGGTATTTAAATAATGTATTTACAATAATGTTGATATGAGGAAAAACATTGAATATGTGGGTGGAAATCACATTTATTTTTTATATTTACCAACACAGGTCATATAGAATGTCATACCTGTATTTATTGTTCCTTTAATAATACTTTCCTTGGTAACTAAAAGCAAATACTGTAGTTGACTGCTGTATAGGTATACCTGAGAAAAGGTACTGTCAACAGGTTCATTTTATGACAAACTTTAACTCATGTTGAATTTTAAAAAAAAGTTCAAAAGATATTTTGTATGTTTCTGTGATATATATTTTGATTTATTCACACTGTAAAATGAAAGTACAGCATTTAGACCAAATGTTTATGATCTTTATGGTTCTCGTCAGCTGCGCAGTACTTTGATTGAGACACCTGTCGTGCTGCTGCCAACTCATCGGTCCTACGCAGACTTCCTTCTTGTGTCATACATCGCATACCATTTTGACCTTCCTTTGCCTGTGATTGCTGCTGGAATGGGTAAGACATTGCATTTCTTGGTAAATTGTGACAATTATCTTCCCTTGAAATATAGATTACGTTTCACAGAAAATATATTGGTTGAAACTTAGTGTTGAATTATAGAAGTTTCTCAAATACTTGTATAATAATAAGTGATACTTTCAAAATTCCATGATAAGGATAGAAGGGAAAAGGAATTTGGTCTTTGGGAGAAAGAGCTACCAATCTCTAGAAATTGCTTAGCTACATCTTTTATCTCAAAACTCTCATTACATAGGCAGTGTGTACTATGTAAATTTAACGAAAAAGTTACTGACATGCAACACATTAACTACAGTGCCATCTACATGTGAAAATTGAAACTACTTTCCTCAGTTGCATTATCCATTTCAGGATGTACTGTATTTCTATCTAACAATGAGAAATATGCTGATGGTGGCAGGGTAGCCTCCACATGCTATGAGGCTCCCACATGGGTTGGAGTGATTCTTTGTGTATTTCTCTGACCCCTGTTCTTTGATAGTGTAAATCAGGGGGGCAGATACTCAAAACACTTTGTAAGTTACACGTTCAGTGACTTTATAATGGATTTAGAGATATTTTACCTTACAAACTGCTGACAGCGCTGTAAATCCCTGTACTCAAAACTATTTTGGGATGTTGTCAGGGCATTATCACTCAAATGAAAACTTCGTGGAGTAAGTTTTCCTGCGGTTTAATCAGCCAATCGCAGTTACGCTTTCAAAACATACTGACCAATCACAAGCTAAGGATATTGACTGGCTTAGGGGCACAAGATTTATAAACAACAGAAGTTTAAGAAGCTAGTCAAAGATTTTCCACATTCTTTTTGTTGACTAAAACAACCCAAAGGACCCCCAAGTTGGTAACAGTGAAAAGCACACCTTTAATCTCCTTACCTGGTTTAAAGGTCCCTGGTAGTTGGGCATTGCTATGTATGCAGTGTTATTGAGAAATACCAGCATGTCAGATAGTGTCCTGAAACTTTTCACTGGGAGATGTAGCAACACAGCAATGTGGGAGGTGGGAATGTGACACTCTTCCCTTCACCACACACCTTGTCTCTGTTTTTGCAGCCTCCACACACTAATCTATTTATAGCCCTTAGCAAAGCCTATGGAACCCTAGCTTACGTCAGTGATCAATTAGCATATGACAAGGGATGATGTAATTTATGTCAGTGACTTTTAAAAGGTTAATGTTATTTTTCATTGCAATAATATATGAAACCTATTTTCTGCAGTATTCTTCGATAAAACAGCTTTAATTAGGTTGATCATAATGTGGGCATGTACGTAGAGAGATCTCTTGACCTGTGCGAGGGTATGGTGAATAAGAATGGTCACTCAGGTTGAAGTTAATAACTTTATTATAAATTGGGGTGTAGGGAATTGAAAATAAGATCACTAATTTTTATCATAAAAATTAACATAAAACAAAGTCAGGTACACATTAAAACATAAGAAACATAATAAAACATTATAATAAATGTTAACAAACATACAGGGTAAACTAAAATATGTTTATAGTACCATGTAACAGTTGCTAGTTCATGAGGCAGTGTACAGTCGGGGACAAAAATTCTCGCTCCCCGTGGTAAAACCGAGTCACGGGAATGAGTCTCTGAACTGACTTACCCTGACTGTTGTATCTCATTTGGTGTCGATGCTGCTTCATTTTGGGCAGGAGGGAACTTTTGACCCTGACTGTACATGTCTCGCCATTCCTGTCATATGTTGTAGTGTTGATTTGCAATTAATTAAATTTAATATGATAGTTTCAATAAAAATATTGCTTATGTCTATCATAATAATACTTTCTATTAATGTTCATTTTAATATTAACATTAGATGTTAGAGAAGTAATGTGAGAATTTTTTTTTTTTATTTACTTGGTTTCTGTAACCATCATATTTTTCAGGAATGCATCCCCAACATAAATCAGGGTACCACTGTATTATAATTGTATTGCTATTTTATTGGTGATTAGTATATTGTGTGCTGTGCAGTATCTTCACTACCCCTAACAGAGGGTCAGGGATGGGACCCACTTTCACCATTATCAGTCATTGTATCATTTTTATTGGCTTAAGAAGCATAGAGCTGTTGAGTGACTTCTTGTATCCTAAGTTTTTCTCTTATATTTCAGATTTCATGAATATGGCTGTTATTGGTGAAAAGCTAAGGGGTTCTGGAGCTTTTTATATCCGACGATCATTTATGGATAATGCTCTTTACTGGGCTGTGTTTCAGGTAAGAGTGATTGTTATGAATACACTGTTGATGAACTTTGTCCATAATATTAAATTTTTCTCAAAACTTATGATATATTTCCTTTTATTTGTATGATAAAATTAATGTTTTTCCTGCTACCGGGATGTCCCAAAGGTCACCCCCCAAAGGGATTTAATTTCCGTAATACAAAAATAACTCGTAACACCTGTCATGTAATTCAGATACAGTATAAAATAAAATGTGAGAAGATACAAATAAACGTCATGAATAAATGTTTTGACTGGTGACCATTAGCTTCATACCACTTTGCGTTGGATGAATACATGACACATGAATTCAACTCAATGTCTTGACACCAATTTTGTTACAGTCTGTTCTTAATTTATAATTTAATTTCATGTTCCTCAACCCAGGCAACCAAATGAGGGTTGTACTGTCCTGTTGTAATATGAGGGAGGGTACTGTCCTGTTGTAATATGAGGGAGGGTACTGTCCTGTTGTAATATGAGGGAGGGTACTGTCCTGTTGTAATATGAGGGAGGGTACTGTCCTGTTGTAATATGAGGGAGGGTACTGTCCTGTTGTAATATGAGGGAGGGTACTGTCCTCTTGTAATATGAGGGAGGGTACTGTCCTCTTGTAATATGAGGGGTGAAATTGATAAGTTAATGACAGGTAGTCACGTCCTTGGGAGAACACGGGTAGTCCTCAAAAAACTCTTGGTAATTTTTACTACAGTAGTCCTTAAAGTCTTATAATAAATACAGTACAGTACTATCACACATGAACTCAACTGACCACTGTTTACATCACACATTGGTACAGTATCACAATGTCATGGATAATGGAAGATTAAAGTTGGTTTGTTGTCCTTTGTCTGCAACTACCTAATTGATATTTTTACTTTTTTGAATAATTTTGTAAGATACCAGTATTTTAAGATTCCCAGATACAGTTAATGATTTCTGGAATTTCAGTAGTCTGTTGTAGATGCACTGTTTATTCTGTGTTATCATTTTATAGAGTAAATTCCTTGGATTTTAGTTTAAATGAAAAAGATTAGGTTCCTTTAAATTATGTGTTTACAAGAATCCAAGATTATCAGATTTATGTTCTCTTGGGTTTGTTAAATCCTATGCTGTTAGTATGGATAAAGGAATTAAGACTAAATCACTTACTTTTCACTTTGTAGGAATATGTCCAGACTATAGTGAAGTGTACTGGCTCTCCATTAGAATTTTTCTTGGAAGGAACAAGAAGTCGGAGTGGGAAGTCGCTGCCTCCTAAGATTGGTAAGTTATTTAGTAGTGTTGATAAAAAAAAAATTCTAGTGAAACCTTGAAAGAGCATAAGTGGGTTTTTCTTTTTCCATTTCTTTTATAACTTCAGTATTTTTACTGTAGATATCTTATATCTGGCCTATGGCTCGCATGAGTGATATCTGGCCTATGGCTCGCATGAGTGATATGGTAAGACTCGGCCAATTACATGTAGCTACAGAGGTTTATTTGTGTTATGGTAAGATACACTATCCCTGCAGATAAAATTGTACATAGTTGGTTAAAGGCATAATGGTCTTTTCTCTCCATAAATACAGCTTCTGCCATATTTGTATAAGGTTTCATTACTCACAGAGGATGCAGGTCAGTAGTTTTTCTTTCATTTAGGGATTAATTACATTGCAATGCAAAAGTCCCCCAAAAATGGTTCACATCTTCATGCAAGTTCTCGGTCATTGCCATTTTGTCAAAGGGTCAGCATATTATGCCGTTGTTGAATATCCATATACAGTATTTAACACATTAATTCTTTCCATATTTACTATTTTATAGCCTAAGTCTTGGATTGAGAAACACCAAAAGCTAGGCAGTCCAAAACACACACACACACACATGCACACACATACACATTTTGTGTGTGTGGTGTGTACTGTATACACAAATTGTGGTGTGTCTAACCACATTAAATGTGTTTTTACCTCATATGACACAACTTTGGAAGGTCAAATATATTTCTATGATTTTATTAACTTTTTTACTTTTCTTTCACACTTGGGGTACAGCTATTTACGGTACTCAGAATTTGCATCAAATAGGTTTAAATAAATACCCTCTGGGGACAATGTTGCCTCAATTGCTGAAGCCCCTTTCATATCCAGTAACATGCCCCAGATATTTGAAACTTCATTCTCTTACTCACTTTCTTTTAACTTCATTCATACTAACATTATTTTTTCATTCCTTCACTCATCCTTACTTATTTTCACCAGTGCACCTTTATTTACATTCATTGTAATTTTTTTTCTTGTACAGGAAAGTATCTGTCTACTGAAAAGTTTGGGACTACAATATAAACTTCCCCTTAAAAATGGATAAATGCATAAAATGGATACTATCATGAACATGTGTCCAAGGAAAGCATGTACAGTAATAAATAATAGTAGACTTGTGTCAGTTTGGTTCTTTCTTTAGTTTCTGTAAATTCCTGTATATTAGCTTGTTTCATTATTCTTTTAAGCTCTCAATGTTAAGTTAACAAATAATATTTTAATGTGCCATCGTTCTCCTACAGTCACCATATAACTTACTCCTCAAATTCACTGGAAACAAGTACAGTACTGTAGAATAGTCACTCACACCACAAATTACTCTACACAGTGCCAGTTGCATGATTTTCCAATTTCTCCTTATTTACTCTCTTGTAATACAGTATGTGGACAATTACATAAAAGAAATGGTTCGTAAATGTCATATTTAGAATGCATGTATCGAATGGCTCGACCATTCTGCGATATACTGCATTCGTCAAAATCCCGGGAAGATACTGCATTCTCTCAGTGTACATACTCTCATTAAATTAGAGTAAATATTAAATTGAATTAGACTTTACCAAACTTTTTAAAATTACTTGGCATTATTGTTTAATTATGTCATCCAGGCCCTCAGCTAAACTTTGAACTTGAAGAAAGATTGTGTATCCAGGTTTAAAAGTGTCTCTATATCCCATCAGGACTTCTTGGTTGTGTGTCACAGTGTTGGTTGCATGGAAGACTCCCAGACTTGGCTATTGTGCCCATAAGCATATCATATGAACGAACTCTTGAAGAAAAACTTTATGCATATGAACTTCTTGGAATACCAAAACCTCAAGAATCAACTTCGGTGAGTAGATTGTGAAAACAGAGCACATTTTGAACACATAAAATTCTGTTCATTTGTATAACAGTAAAGATATATGTAGAAAACTGTATTACTTAAGAATATGAAAAAAGATTTTGTTCTAATGTGATTGATTCTTTTGTTTTTGTAGTACATTGCAAGGTCTTTAGTCAGAATATCTGTAGTCTAAAACATCTAAAATTCAAGTATATTCGAGATTCCCACCAAAATGGCACACGAGTTTCCAAGGATCACTCTTCTGTTCTCTTTACATTACTGTAGCCTACACCACCACTTTTGTCATTGTTTTACCATTTTGAATTTGAGGTCTTCCTCATTTTTTTCTCTTATTTCTTTGGTTTATGTTCTTACTCTGCCTTTGTAATGTTGTCCATTACAAGTGGTTAGGCAATGTTGCAGTGATGGTGTACTTATTTATGGGTCACTTTTGTCAGAAAAGGATAAACAATGTCTTTTTGAGTCTTGAATGGGCAAAGAAAATTTTTGAGTGAAAAAAGAGGCCGGTGAACAGTATACTGTACTGTATTGGCATTTTAACAGTTACTGAAAAATTAATCCTTATCCAGGACATATTTATTATGAAGATGGGACTGGTCCCTTGTGGTGTTACATTCCAAGGAACACACTTGCTAGAATGGAGGAAAAAGCAATACATGGCATGAAGAAAGCTAAGGACACAAGTGTGAGTCGTTGAGGATAGGCAAAAAGAGTTCATCCTTTTTCCCGTGAAGGAAGTAAAAGTGCTTCTGAGTTAAAAAAGTACTGAATGGGCCTGGATCACTCATGAACTGACCACTGATGGTTTGATAATCATTATGTGATGGGATCTTGAGAACACTTTTGTTAGGTGGGGCTACCAGATCATTGTAAGATCAGGATTTATAGTGTGAAAATACCTGTAATATAAAGACTACAGAACTCACTCCCTTGGAATTCAGATTGGAGATCATCCACTTTATTTTATAACCTATGAGATATCAACAAGGATCCTTTGAGATCTGCGCTACTAAAACACCCCTAGCAGAGATTGCCAGTACCCAGAGGGCTCTGATGTATTTTAACAGCCTTAGGCTGCAAAGCAACACCTCTTATAGAAACTAGAATTAATTCAGTATACAAATACCTGGTCTGGTAGTTGCTTTAACCCTTAAAGGACGGCAGACATCATATGATGTTTGAGAGGAAAATGCGTAAAGGGCGGCAGATATCATAATACCTGTGTTATGAAGTTTAGAATTTTGCACCATTGTTTGGGTGTGCTAGTGGCTGTGTTGTCTGGTTGCTATGACAACATTGGCAGCTTGCTCCAGAACTGGAAAAACATTTATTTCTGGTTCAACTCATGATTTTTCCAAGAAATTATTATTTCTTGTATTCATTAACTAAATATAAAATTTTTAGGGGTAAAAAACAGCCTTCTAATGGTGCAAAAAAATTTAATACATCTTAAATAGGGCGCATTCTACATGTATTTCAGCAACATTATCTTATGCGATTTGCTCCATTTTCTATGTAGCAAATGACTTTCGGAACGTCGGGTTAAAATCCTAAGTTGTGCTTATGCATTCTGAACCCATTTATCTATAAAGTGGTTTCAAGCCTCCGCATTCTCCTGCTTCCTGGTGTTCATATGGAATGAGTCATGTTCTTACTTTGGATCAGTTTTTCTCAATTTAATGGTTGCATTAGGTTCAGTTCATGACCCTCAAGACATTCTTATTCAGGTACTTTACTTTCAAAACAGTTACAATCCATAAGCATAAAGGAAGTCAGTAAGGTACCCATTGATGTGGTGGTTGCCTCTAATATTTATTGAACTATGTAATTTTAAAATTATCAAACTAAATAGTCTCTATACTGTACGTACTTCAATAGGCTGTCCAGATGCATCTCCATCACTTGTACTGTACAGCTTCAGCCAAGTCAGCAATATGTGTTTGTCATTTTTTACAATCATAAGCACAGCCAGCTGACTGCATATTTTTTGAGACAAGTAATTTATTATTATTTGGGTGTGTTTATCATCGTAGCAGCAGTCATCTGGTGTATACAGTGTTTGGAAGGTGAGGTCATCATGATCATATCTTTACCTTTGGTTATTGTGCAAATTTAATCTTTGTCTTGTTAACAGATGCAAGCGAAAAGAAAATTATCTGTAAGTCTTCATTTGTATTCGGTATTTGTATATTTAAAGCACCATATACAGTACTGTTTAGTGAATGAGGTTCTGCTCTTCATATAGCAACATATAGGAAGAATATGAGTTTGGTAGGCAAGTGCAGGATAAAAGAGCTGTATGTGGGTAGCTGTTGTTCACCATAAATGATCCGAGGAAATGCATGAATTTTAACCTCTCAAAAATATTATGGATATACCTGTACTGTATATAGTTATACCCCAATTTTTTGCATAGAAATTTGACCGTAAATATCTAACTTTACTTGAGTGCATTATATAAGCTATCGTAACATAACGTATTTGTGTTGTTACATAATTTAAAGGTATTGGCACTAGGAAATACTATACAGTAGGTGTAAATAAAATGACATATGACAATAGAAATTTATGCTGGACCATAGGTGGTGCTGGACCAGAGAGGTTCAACCTGGAGCTGCTCTATCAAGGTGTCAAAGGACAGTCACTTCTTAGGCCCAATGGTTTGCTGGAACATGAGACATACAGTGTATTCCTGACCATGGAATGAGGAATTCAGGATTAAATTGTCATTTTTGTATTGAAAAAATTATTACTGTAATGTTTTATATTAGGATATGGAGTATAGTTTTGGAAAAGAAGCCCACTAAAATTATTTTCTTTATAATCACAGGGTCTCTTGAAAGCAACAAGCATCTTAAAAGAATGTTTTGGAGATATTTTTGTTCATGTTGGTGAGCCACTCTCTATACGAGGATTTCTTGGGCCCCTTGTGGATAGACATGTGCAGGCCTCCATACCATCACATCTAGCACCTTTAACAAAGAATGAGGTAAGAATTTTGTTATTTCTTTTGAATGTAGTCGTAACTCATCTGTTTCAATACATAATTTTAATTAAAGGCAAATTGTTCTCAGTACAACAGCTGTTAATGTTATAAAGAAATGTTGTACCATTAAAGACACAGTAGCCTCTGCCCAAAATCAGCTCTTCATCTTTACCTTGTTTTTTACTATACAGTGCATTAGACAGTAAAACAACATGTATACTGATCTTTTTCCAATAAACCCACGGGATAATTTTGGAGAGGATCCGATAAACTCAAGTGCATTGTGCATTTCAGAAGTATCAATGAAATTAAGGTATAGATCCTGGGTAGGACTACCTGGGCTGTAGACCATTACTAGATTAGGACCACCACCATTGCCCCAGCCACCTCCACAAGTTCCACCAGGATCAGTGCATCATTAATTAAATTCACTTGAGAGCCAAGTGTACCTGAAATTTGAAAAATTACACATTTCTTCAGTTAGTAGATTTATCCATGTCTCAGCAACTAGTTATTAAAATAACCAAATTCTTAATGAAAAGTTTCTGACTTGCCCCAATTTGTTTAAATTATACAGTCAACCCTCACTTTACGCGGTTAATATAGCCCCCAGGGTACCGCAGAAAGTGAGAAACGCGTAAGGTGAACAACATAACATATGGGATTAATTGAAATAGAGACCGGGCCGACCCCCAAACCCCACTTTATGACGACACGCAACTATGTTGTAGTAAAAATTTTATCTTAAATTTATGATGGTGTGCACAAACAATTAATATAGAGGAGGTTAGTTTAGGAAAAATAAAGGTTAAGTTAGGAAAAATAAGGGTTAGGTTAGGAAAACTAAAAGTTAGGTTGAACACTTACGTTAGTAGAAGAGATGGGTCGGCATACGGGGATGGAGGCTGGTTCCAAGGCAGAGGGCAGGCTACTGACCCTCAGGTGAGTCACCATCACTGTCATCCACACTTGTCAGGGCCTCCTTGACAAATCCCTCAAAGTCATCATCACTGTCTCTACCTCTGTCACTATCACTGGCTTGGGCTGGCTGTGGTGGGTTGCGGGCGAAGAACTCTGTTATGTTTTGCTGACGGCTGGTGTTTATGTTGTCGTGATAAACCTTGATGTAGGGCTCCATAGTCTGCAACAGCTGGGTAGTGAAGATTTCATACCTGTTTGTGTCAGGGTCGTCGGAAAGGAGGAGCTTGATTTTCTCAACACACTCGATGGCACCCCTAACATTACTATGGGATAAGCGGTGTTCTTCTTGGGATGACGCACCACCTGCCTCTTCACTGACATCATCATCTATCATCTCGTCGGTAGTCACATCAGGATCCCTTATCGCCTCCAGGATGTCGTCGTTGGTGGTCTCGGAGAAGCCTGCAGCTGTAACACTCTGCGCAGCTTCTCTGGCAAGGTCCACTGCTACTGCAACAGTTTGAACCTCACCAGTCACAGATTGACTCTGCCTAACGGCCGGAATGCCTTGCACCACATGTCTCCATGCGTGACGAACAGTTGCTACAGACAGCTGATCCCATGCCTCCACCAAGAAGTCCACAGCTGTCTTGATGTTGAATATTCTCCAGAATTGTTTGAAAAGTATTTTTTGCTCTGCCAACTGTTGATCCTCGTTGTCTTCGCTCTTGCTATCGGTGGTGGTGTCACTCAGGTTACGCAACTCTTCCCTGGTGTTGGTGTAGTCGTTCAGGAGCTTGAATTTTTTAGTAGAGAATGCAGCTTTTACATTACAGATTAACTCTTGGTCCATGGGCTGTAATATAGACGTAGTGTTGGGAGGAAGGAAGACCACTTTTACGTTGGGGTGACGATCTAACAATAGGGGCGAGTGTCCTGGTGCGTTGTCCAGCAGCAACAAAATCTTGAATGGCACATTCTGTTGCTCACAGAATTTCTTCACATCGGGAACGAAACAGTCATCAAACCAGGAGAGGGACAGTGTAGAGAACATCCACGCCTTACGTGCGGTCAGCCAGTGGACATTTAGCTTGGTCATGTCCATGCTCTTGTAGGCGTGCGGCTTGCGTGCTGTGTGGATCACTGATAACTTGGCTTACAGGTACCGGAGGCATTGGTGGTAAACAGGACGGTGATGCGCTCCTTCTGCAACTTCCGGCCCCGAATCTTGCTGGCATTCTTCACAACGAAGGTCTTGGAAGGTAGCTTTTTCCAAAAAAGAGCAGATTCGTCCATGTTAAACACCTGGTCGTCGGTGTACTGTCCTTCCTCCATAATCTCACATAAAAACGGAGGAAATTCCCTAGCCGCAGCACGGTCAGCACTAGCTTCTTCACCACCAATGTTTATATTGGTGATCTTGTTCCGCATCTTAAACCTCTCTAACCACCCAGAGGAAGCATTAAAGGGTTTGGGCTCTGTAAGTCCCATCTTTCGTGACACCGCAGCATACAGTTCACGTGCGCCTGACGCACCAAGTAGCTCACAAGTAATTTTTCCGTCTTGAGAAGCACCTGGTTGTGGAAATACTTGATCATAGAAGCATCTGTAGACTTTGTGATCTTCATGTGCTCCTTTATCTTGGCTGCATCCTTCTTTATCGTCCGGATCGTAGATTCGTTCACACCATGCTGGCTCGCCAAATCAACCTGTCTTGTTCCTTTCTCTAACTCTTGGATGATCTTGTACTTCACCTCGTAGCTTAAGAAACGTCGTGTCTTCTTGGGCTTAGGGCGGCTGGGTCCAGGCAAGGAAAGGTTTCTCTCTGGGGGCGGTGGTCCGGCGGAAGCCATTTTACAGAATAATGGATGCACGATTACACGGTGTGGCCTGGAGGGATGAAACTGCCACGGCTAGGTCAAGCGTCGTCTTTCCTCCCTCCTTCCCTACCCCGGGTGGACATGTCATATTTTTTTAAACCAATTACAGCTAGCAGCGGAGGGAGGTAGGGATGCATGGCCAATCACAGTCCGATACGTCATATGACGTCTGATAACGCAACAGAGACATGCACTGCGCAACCTTACCGTGCGGCTTGCCCAGGAGGAGGCGGGAGCAGGCTGGTGGGGCGAATCTAAAAATAGCGTCGAGCCGGACACTCTCCGCGTAAAGGGGTACACGCACCACGGAATGTGAGCATCAAGGGTTCCGGCAGGGTACCGCGTAAACATGGAAATGCGGAATGTGGGACCGCGTAAAGTGAGGGTTGACTGTATAGGGTATTTTATTACATGAAGACAATGCAGACTGATATTCTTGTTGAAATAAGGTGAATAACTTAGATAATGAAGTGTGATAATAAATTGGTATTTGTTTCTACTCCAGTTATCTGCGTGTGAAGCTCTCGGTCATCACATGTTAAGAAAGATCCAGTCAGGTGTTGTGGTCAGTGTGTGGAGTGTGGTGTGTATACAACTCTTGCGTACACTCTGGACACAACAGTGGTCACTTCCATTGAAGGTTCTTGTACAAGATGTCTCATGGCTCATTGGTATCCTGGAGAGGATTGGTGGAAATGTTGCTTTTAAAGGTACTGTATATATATATGTATATATATATTATGGATATAATAAATTAACATTTACATGTACATCCAAATTTTCCCAAAAATGTAGATGATAAGTTGCTATATGAAAAGTTGGTATTCTTCAAATACAGTACCTATATATTTTATATAAAATACTGAAATCCCACTATAGGAGAAGACAAAACACACAAAAATTGAGATCACTCTTCATTTCAAGCATAACCTACAGTTCTGTTCAACATTGGTCATAATACAGTCGACCCTTGTTATTTGCGATTTTGTGGTTCTTGGTTTCAACTTCACAGTTCATTCCTTTCAGCAAATAAAGACACAAAGATACTGATTGGAGATACAACAAAAATACAGTAAAGCCTCGAATAACGACGGTAATGTGTCCTCCAATATTGCAGTGTAAGGTGAATCATCGTATCGCAAATCATTAATTACCATTAAAATAAAGCAATAATAATGAGATGCGTTCCCAAGTGTGACCTTTTCATATATTTTGTGTGGCCTTTTACCCTCTTTTTCCCTCCAAAACAATACAATTAATGAAAATTTCAAACTATATTCGTTAAATAATGTTTCTGAATGCACCTTATACAATATAAATGAATAATATGGTCACACAAGAGGAGATGGGACGCCATTGTTTTCGTTTGTGTTTACAGCCGGGAGTCCGGGACGATAGTTCTACACAAGAAGATAAGACCTTGGTTGTAACTGTAGTAAAATTAATGTAAAAAAATGAATATATAGGTTTTAAGTAATGTTATTTAATGTTAATAAATGGAACAATAGAAGTAGCTAACCACTAATGGTAAAGAAAAAAAGTGAGATGGATTGGGAACGCCAACATATACGTACGCATTTAAGGATACCGCGTCATTTATCTTTTTAAGAATATGTACAAAAGATTCATTATTGTTTATTACTGAATATGTATTTGATTGAATTAATCTTTACACATATATGCGAAATGAACAATACAATTCATTAATAATACGTAGAATATTAAAACACACAGGAGGATAAGAGACGGCAATGTTGTCAGTGTTTACACCCATAATGTCAGTTATCCACCTGAAACTGAAGAAAATAAGACCCTGGTTGTTGTTGTAGTAAAATTAATGTAAATGATATGTATGTTTAAATTAATGTTATTTAATGTACAGTAGAAGTAACCACTGATATTAAGGAAAAAAGTGAGACTGATAGTGGAATGCCAATGTATACGCGCGCACTAAAGGAAACAGTCATTTATCTTAAGAATATGTACAAAAGATTCATTATTGTTTATTACTGACTATGTATTTGATTGAATTAATGTTTATACAGTGACCCCTCAGTTAACGAACTCAATCCGTTCCAGAAGGTCGTTCATTAACCGAAAAGTAATTGGTTCCAGCTCACCGAAAATTTCCTAAATTCAATAAAAATGGTGGAAAAGTTCACTTACTTTGAGGTGTGTATGTAGAAGGCTCCTGGATGATGATGATGGGAATTAGAATGGGGGTGGAGGAGAAGGAAGAAGAGAAGGCATTGGGGTGGAAGAGAAGTCACCCCATGGCGCCATTTCACCCATAAAATTTTAGCTCTCTTGGTGTAATTCAAGATTGTTTTCTTTAAATCAACACTGCACTGCATTATATATTGTCAATATGTAAAATATATTTCAAAATGACCAATAATTTGCTTGGAAACACAGAAAAATGCGTTTAGTTGAAGAGAGTCTCAAGCAAGATGTTACCTCCAGTGAAAACAGAGAGAGACTAACGCCTGTTTGCTGTGTTAAGAGGCTGGATGCCGCGCATTAAACTAGTCACTTTACCTTCAATTATGTTCAATAATTGTTAAAATGACTAAAAAATTGTTTTTATGCTTATTGGTGGCTTAGGAGTGCTTAACCAGCATGTGCCCCCTTCTCGGGTCTGTCTCCCTTCTGTCTGGTGGACAAGAAATTTCATGGTGAGAGAGGCTGGCAGCAACTTCTAGCTGCTCTTCTCCACCCTGAACATGTCTCCAGTTTAACACCCATGACTGGATTCCTGAGGTTCAGAAGATTTGTCAGAGGATTAACACAAATTAATGACCCAACAAAGTGTACCATCAAAACCATACAAGAGTTTGTAGGAAGGAACACTGATGATAATTTGAGGCACGACTTAGTTTTAGCAATTGGCTGCAATTGGGAAATCCATAAAAATAACACCAACAATGATATGGCTCACATTTATATGTTTTCAAGTACAGTAACATGTTTCCAAAACAACCCTGGATCTGTACAGTGTCAGTTATTTTCACAGTAATAAAGTGCATCCACCACAATATTGTCTCTTACATATGGCTTAATTAGTGATGGAGGTGGGTACTGTACTTATGGGGCCTCCACCTGTGAACAGCACCAGGGCTCCTTATACCTAAGAGGCCCTCACCATTTTTAATCCAGTGCTGTAGTTGAATGACATTATTTTATAATTCCAGGTACGTATAAATAATGTGTGTGCCAGATGTCATATAAGCATGTTTTGATTTTAGATAAAACTAATGTACTAAGAATGCTCAATAATATTTCCTTTGTGTTATTATATAGGGAGAGTGGATGAGGCTGTGATACGCTGCCTTAAGATTCACTGTCAGGTTGCCAGTCTTGGTGAAGATGGAGTTGTGTATATACAACAAGTTCATCAGCCGGCCTTCCAAACTGTAAGCAATCAGGAAAAAAGTAAGTTTTTTATACAGTTACTAGTTTGAGAATATGTAATATACTCTTGATTACTTTCTACAGTAAATGCCTATGATGATATCTTTGCAGTATTTTGGCTGCTTCATGAATTATTTTTGTGACCTATGCATTATGAGTGACTTGTAAGATTCCTTTGAGAAATACCCAGAAACAAAACAAAACTTTATTGGGAAACATGGTTTGCTTAGTTGCAAGTTGACACCACAGGACAAAGCCATTTTAAAGTGAATTACAAACTAAAATTTTCTCTGTGTACTGACGTTGGGACTCGAAAATACGTAATTTGACAAAATTTTGGTACGACTGAGGGAGGTCGTAAGTGCGGATGGTCGTAAGTCGGGGAGGAGCTGTACTGTAAATTTCAAGTTTAACCTCGTTTGTATCGGTTGGCGTTCATAAGTTTGACATTCATAAGTTTGACATTCATAAATGAGGGGACCTCCTGTATACGCCCCACCCACAACCAAAACCATGATGGATAACATGAAGTGTCCTGTCATTAAAATACAAGTATTATGTACACTATTATGTGAGATGTAAGATGTTTATAAGCTTCTTCTATTTTCTTTGCAGAAGTAAACTTGAGTGGCATAACTGTGAAGCACGCAGTGACACACCTGATGCTACAGCATTACATCAATCAAGCCATACACCTCCTAATTCGACCAGCCTTGGTGGCACAATCTTTGATGTCACTTGGTCTATGTGCAGGCTGTTCCCTTGGTTAGTGGTACAATTTGTATTGACTTTATTTACTTTATGATGTATCCCTTAATGAGTCTATATTCTGTGTGTGCAGTGCACTGTTCGTTCATGTCAGGAACAATAATCATCCCATAGATTGGGAAAACAGCTTAGAAGTGTACAAATCATCATGTGTCACAGAAAGACTTCTGGTTGAAGCTAGTTTGATTAGGGAATTAAATTCTATAAACCTTAGTGATGGTCAGTACAAAACTGATATGTTACACAAATTTATTTGTCAGTGGCCCAAGGTTAAAAATGCTTTGAAAGCATTCAAGTTAGATGTAGGATAGATGATTAGTGGGTCCTATATTTTTTACCTGACTTAACATGACTAGTTACGTTGCCCTTTCTCTTAAGCTCCTTTCTGTGTGTGGTGGTGTTGGTGTGCGGATTAGTGGATGTCATGTTTAGTAAGGTCACCCTGTGTGTTTAAGCCTCTCTCGGTCCTTGTAATTCAGTTGCCTCTGAAGATATATATATATATATATATATATATATATAATATATATATATATATATATATATATATATATATATATATATATATATATATATATATATATATATATATATATATAATATATATATATATATATATATATATATATATATATATATATATATATATATATATATATATATATATATATATATATATATATATATATATATATATATATATATATATAATTTTTTTTTTTACATGCACACACAATCATTCACTCAGAATGTACAAAAAAATTAAATAAATAATTATCATAAGGTCAAAAACATAAAGGGATTAAACATTCATGATGTGTGGGAGGTAGCACAGAGAGTAAAGGAGAGGGAGCGAGTAGTTTTCTCTCATGACTCTATTGTCCCGCGTGTAGTGACAAGATTGTCAAATGGCAATGCCGATTTTTTTTCTGTTCTTTTCTTTATTATTATTATTATTATTATTATTATTATTATTATTATTATTATTATTATTTATTAATCACATTCACTGGTATAGTATACATTATTTTATTTACAAATAATAGCTTCTTCCACACGCAAACCATCCTCTGGGTAACATGACACACTTCAACTGCTTAGCCGGCAGTCACTGTGGATGGGCAGAACCTCCCAAGCATCCCACGTGGATTGCATGTGTCACCCCATTCTAAGATTGCGTCATCATATCTTGGAATATTGCGAGTTATTGTACCTTACTTTTTCATAGCAATGACAAAGCAGGAAAAGCATTCAGGTAGTGAACATGGTAAAACTGACCTTTAGCCCTCGCATAGTTGTAAATGCTATTAATTTTTTAACAACGTAAAACTAATGAAGCATACATAGATCCATCGTATAACGGTCATTGCCTGTAAATGATCGATCACTTAACGATGGCTTTTGAGGTCCCTAACCCCATCGTATAAAAGGCAACTTCGACTGTACTCTTCGTTGGTTTTCCTGTCAGTGTAACTTATTCTTGGCATTCACCTATAACACCTCATTTCAAAAGCCTCTTAACCTCTCTTTGACCCATACTACAGTCCTGATTATATATAGCCTTTCTACAGCCTTTCTCAAATTGAAGTTATGTCTATTTTAATAAAGCTTTTAGATTATTAAATGTTGTTTTTACTTGACCTAGTCTTGTTTTGATTTCTTTTTCACATCTTCCATCACAGCTAATGTTACTTTATAGATAAATAACACTTTTCACTTGTTTAAGTTCTTTATTGCCTGCTATGATTTTTATTTTAGGATTTATTTCTAATTTGGAACCAGCCATTACCTTAATCGTTTTATTAACTCTTAACCCACATTCTTCCCGTATTCTGTTAACCAGTTTTGTAATGCCTCTTCACTATCCATGATAAGAGCAGTATCATCTGTATAGTGTATATTTGATAATACTTTACCATTACCCTAATCAATGAGAAAAAAAATTCAACAAAAATGTTTTATTTTATTATGAAATATTAAAATAATATTACATGTTGCAGTCTACATCATCTGTTTTCTCTGAAAGATTCTACTCAAAATATGGGAATGTGTATGAAAAGAAAATACAGTCACATAAAGAATTTTTTTTTTAAGAAAATGTGACTAGGTCTCTGGCCAGATACTAGATTTATGCAAACATCCAGCCAGATATCTGATTAGATAACTTATCTGGTGGACCCATACTTAGGTCTCACCCACCTCCCTGGGTTATCCTTAAAGAAGTCAGAGGTTGACTGGAAGTAAGGTGTGTACAGGTACTGTAAACCTGCTATAGTATGACCTGGGTGCAATATGGCTTTGTGGCTTCCTGACTTTTAACCTGCCAGCCTTCAATAGTAGTTGCAACTCTTAATTGTCAATAATGAGGTTATGGTTGTCCAGTGGGAGATGGTCACTCTTCAGATTTTGGCCTCAGCTACTTTGATATAGGGTTTCTTAGTTTCTAAATCATAGGCTGTGACAGGAATTATACATGAAATTTTCCTCACATGCTCACTCATGAAGTGGCTTTTCATGATCAAACCTTCATTTTACTGGACCAGATATTTACAAGTATTTTCTTTTGCATTACAGAAGAGTTGCAGTCAAGATTTAGTTTTCTCCGTTTGCTGCTGGGACATGATTTCATCTTTGAGAAGAATATGGAAGGAAGGGTATGTATATTTACCATAAATTATATATATAGTACACCCTCAATTTATCGTGCTAATGGGATCAAGAATTAACTCGAAATAGTGAATCACATTATATCATTTTATTATTTCAGTAGGAATTATGGGGTATGGGACTGCAGCCTCAAAAAACTAAAATCATATAAAAAATTCCTTTAAGATTCATTTTTTCTGCTTTCAGTACAATACTACTATAGTTCCATCACTTCAAAGCACTTTTTGCCAAATCATATCTCATCTCCCCTTGAGTCAGAACAAATGCTTTCTGGACTGCAACTGTTCTGCTCAAGGTGAGTGATGGAACAAAAGAAGTTGTGGTGTCGTGACTCATGAGTGACCTGCATAGATGCTGCCATCTAGTGAGAGTGGGGACAACTTTAGGTTTCTTTCAGCTGATTGATTGATTTTGTTTGATATTAAACCTTAAGAAATATATTTGAGGAAGCATATTAGGTACTGAATATTTCATGTTAATCTAAAAAATGAAGCATTAAAAGCATAATTAGTGGTTTTCTTACACTAGAGGTCACAGTCTTACGTTAAAGAAGTGACAAGTTCAGAAGCCTTGACTCAAGAAATTTACCTCTTTGGTTGTCAAGTGTTGTAATAACCTACAGATTATTGTGACAGTAAAAATTGTAATAGCTTTTGTAATAACCTGCCAGAGAATGTTGTGACAGTAAGAGTTGAAAAACTGTTGTAATAACCTGACAGGCAGAACCAAGTGTGAGCTCATTTAACCCATTTATTATGGTATGGAAAAAATAATAATGATACCTTGAAAATGGTGACTTTATGAAGAATTTATAGTGTGTTTTTGTTATTGAATTGTATTGCCATTTTAAAGAGCATATCTTCCCGAGTCCAAAAACATCTAACATCACGGTGAGCTGGTGCTCGATGTGTTTCCCAAGTAGCAACAACTGCGTAGTAATTGGTGTTGTGGCTGACAGACATATGATTGCCTGAACACCACCTATGCAGTAAATAAAAAAACCCATTTCATTTGCTTTTGTGATACTTTTTCTCTTACCATTTGAAAGAACATGCTTCTCTAAACCAGTTGAAAATGTTAATGCCATACCACTAGAACAAAACACTCCTCGACCCCTAATGTTCTCATTGACGCACTTTGCTACTTCAGATGATACCCTGTCAAAATATTCTCTGTCTACAAGTGCAAAGTACTGTACAACTTTCTTTCTTTCCCTAGATATTACTATTGTAGTTGCCTAGCCATAAATATTGCTTCTGTCATACTGTTACCCAACATAAACCCAAACTGCATTTTGTTAATGTCCATTCTTTCCCATATTAATTTCTCAATCACTAATATTAAGTGGGTGTTTTTGAGGTTTAGGTATGTTCTTACATAAGATATGTACTATGGTCATGCAGCCTCAGGTAACAGGTTATACAGAATTGTGTTGTAAGTGTTTTACCTTGGTGAGTTGGTGGATACCTTAGTGTCAAAGAGAATGCTTTAAGATTTTTTTTTTTAAATACGTAATTAGTTTTGTGTAATAATTTGTTCATGAATTGAAAAATAATATAAGGTAATGATCGTTTCAGGACTTCATGGATGGTTTGTCTATCTTGACATGGAGTGGAGAAGTGAGTGTCATACAAGGGCATGTTCATGTGATAGGTCGAGGCAGCAGGTTATTAAACACACTGCTCGACCTTCTGAGACCCTTCAACCTTACCTACACATGTGCTGCACAAACCATGGTATGTGTGAATTTCTTTCAAATGGATTATTAACAAGTGACTTGTAAGACCCTTAATACTAAATATTCTCATGTGAGTCTGCCCCCATGACTGATATGTTTAACAGGTTCACATTTATCATGTCCACTCATGGAGTTACTGGACTGTTTCATAACTGTTTGGGTGTGATGGTTACATTGGTGCTACTTCAGCAACATTGCCCTTAGGTGTGATGGTCTTAGTATTACCATGCTCATCAAAAAATGTTTCCTCTCACATTCAATTTACCATTTTCTTTGAATGATTTAGTGGCCACCCACCAGAAATGTCTCCTAGGAACCTAACCCCAATTTTTATCATTATGTCTAGGTTTAACGTTAACTTAAGTTCACTATACAGTACATTGTTTCACTTTACATCACACTTTTCGAAAACCCATGTCTGGCATATAGTGAGCTATACAGTGCAGTACCTGTATTTAGTTAACCTGCAGTTTTGATCATCCACATATCAACAAATCATCTGGTTGACCATCTCAATTAAGATATGGAAATTCTTCAAGTGATAACTAGTATTTAAACTTCATCAATATCTGATCAGTATCAACTCCTTTGCCTTACGTTTTATTGTGACTTGTATTTTTATTTATTTTTTAATATAAATATCCTTTTTCACAGAGAATTACTCTAGGTAATATATGTGTAATTTTCAGGCATCCCAGGACTGGATAGATAATGGAGCACTGGTATTAGGTATTCAGGAATGCATTGAAAGATCACTGATGAAGTCTGGACTGTATTCTGCACTCTCCTTGGATACTGTGCGTCATGCAGTACGAGCTCTGAGTAAGATGGGTGCTCTTACCAAGGACAAAGGGTAAGCCATCAGATGTCATTTGAATACAGATTCTAGTACTGTAATGTGAACTCAACTGCCATACCTAATTGAATGGAAATTATATACCTTGACTGAGTGCTTGCAACAGTGAAACAGTGAGACTTTAGGTCAGGAGTCCTCAACTCATGGTAAAGTTCATTTATCCCAAGACCTTTCTGGCTTATGGGGTTATATTCCAAACCTCTCCAGTTCCTTTTATAAGGTCAAAATATCAGTGCCTTCCTCCTAGACCCCTGGTAGATAGACCAAGAAGATAAGTCTTATTATTCATCTTTGTTAATATTTATACACATTTAATTTTCAGTTTCAGTTTATATGTTACAATCTGTGTAAGCTTTGGTGTATGGAGTGAATGGTGTTACTTTAAGCCATTGTACTGTTGGTTTGTTACCAGTCATTGTGTGAATATAAACTTCTTTGTTTTACTCTCTCTCTCTCTCTCTCTCTCTCTCATATATATATATATATATATATATATATATATATATATATATATATATATATATATATATATATATATATATATATATATATATATATATATATATATATATTTATTTATTTATTTGGGTAATAGATTGTCATTTCCACCTTTACTGTACTTCATAACCTTCACTATTACTGTTTGCCCTTTCTGATTTGGTAACAACCTCAGCCTCAGCCTAACCCAACCCAATCCAACCAAAACTTGACTATCACTGTTTGCTCCCTGGCACGGGTAACCACCTCCTACAATCCCCGTGGCGATATCTCAATTGGTGAAGATTATTGGTTCTTGCCCAGATCACCCAGGGGTCCTTGGTGCACATCCTTAAGACCCAAGTAGTATGTGTATGAAGTTGCAGATCTTTAACTGCTCCATTTTGAAGCCATGGATGGAACAGACACCCAGTGGTCCGTAGTAATACTATCATACCTCATACAACAGATGAGATACGTCAAAAGAGGCCATTACTGTACCTTGGGACCTACTGGACTGTACACCACCTCTCCCACCTACTGGACTGGGGAGGACTGACACTGTCTCCCAAGAGGACCTACTGCCACCTCCCACCTGCCACCTCTCCCACCTACTGTACACCATCTCCCACCTACTGTACACCACCTCTCCCACCTACTGTACACCACCTCTCCCACCTACTGTACACCACCTCTCCCACCTACTGTACACCACCTCTCCCACCTACTGTACACCACCTCTCCCACCTACTGTACACCACCTCTCCCACCTACTGTGTCACCACCTACTGTGTGTCTCCCACCTACTGTACACCACCTCTCCCACCCTACTGGTACACCACCTCTCCCACCTACTGTACACCACCTCTCCCACCTACTGTACACCACCTCTCCCACCTACTGTACACCACCTCTCCCACCTACTGTACACCACCTCTCCCACCTACTGTACACCACCTCTCCCACCTACTGTACACCACCTCTCCCACTTTGAGGAGGAGTTAAACAGTTAGGTAGTTACAGTGTTGAAACTTATTGTAAATTGTATATACACGACACATGACTTTTATTTTATTTTTTCTTGTTGTGGATCCTCAGTCATTTTGAAAACAACATTTTTCTCTAGATGAGGAATATTACTCCTTCCTTCACCCTCAGCCATTATTACCTCTCCTTGTATAACTGCTGCTTCCTTTGTGTCCAGCTTACTCACATTTCTACAGTATCTTTGACCTCATCCTTGGTCTGGTCTACCATTGTGTATCATTCTTTGACTATATTCACACCTCCTCAACAGCCCTCGGTCACTGCTCTGTTTGCCTCGTGTTTCATATCTTACTGTAATTTCTGCTCAGTATTTCTTTTTCTCTTTTATTCTGGTCACCTCATATATTGCTCTTAAGCTCATCTCTTCTCTTGCTTGTAATACACTTATTTTTCCTGCATAGAAGGTTTATGTTTCCCCACAGCTGTGGTATAATGGTCAGCATGCTCGCCTCGTAAGCGAGCGGACCCGGGTTTGATCCCCGGGCAGGGTGAAACTATGGGCAAGTCTCTTTACGCCATTTGCCTCTGTCTACCCAGCAGTAATTGGTTGCTAATTGATTTGTGATCTTGTTCTGGGGTAATGGTTAGCCAGTGCAGTTGGTGAATTGTCCGGTCTTCTCAGACTATTCCTTGACACTGGGTCATGCAGCTCATTAACTTAGGGTGTGGTTGTTGTATTGGCAGCAACTTCTACACCTTAATCAAATTCACACTTTTTTTTTTTTACGGGATTAGCCCACCCGGGCACAGGTCACTGACCCACATCGGGGCCTGGGGGCGAAAATGTAATAATAATATAATAATAATAATAATAATAATAATAATAATAATAATAATAATAATAATAATAATAATAATAATAATAATAATAATAATAATAATAAAGAACCATAAAGAAATGTAAAAAAGAAAAAAAAAGTGAGAAACGATATATGTATGTTGTGTTGTCAATAGTACGAGAAACAATTGAGACCTTGCAATTGTGTGTAAATGAGGCAGAAGTCAGATCAGCAACCTGGGACTTGGTCACAATTTTCGTGATGCCATATGGCAGCAGGGTCTACCATTAGACAACACATTATGCTGCCAATATCTTCCCAGGCAGTAGTACCTCCCTTGGGCTGGCCATCCTCGTTACACGAGGGGTAACCATTATTATTATAGTAATGTCAACTCCAGAACTATAATTCTGTACCTATATGGTTTAGTAAATTATTACTGTACTGTAGTATATTTTTGTACTTCTTAGGAGATTACAGTATGATTTTCTTGTTGTGTTTTTCTTCCTACAGGATTGATGGTCAAATGATACTTGCTGGAGACACCCAAAAACTTCATTCCATTGTTGAGATCTTAGGACAAACTGATAAAAAAATATTGCAACCTAAACTGTAAGGAGAGACTTAGGTAATGTTAATACATGTATTGTGGTCTTGTGTGTTAGTATCTGGTCTGCTTGATAACACTGTTAAAAGTCACCCTGTTGTATAGTACAGTGAAACCTTTCTATAAAAGTTCTTAGAGCTTAAGATACCCTCTTGTCATGTACAGTGCAACATCTCTATAACAATTGTTTAAGGTTAAAGTCACCCTCTTGTTTTATATAGTGAAACCTCATAACAGCTGTTTAGGACTTAAGTCACCCTCTTTTGTTTACAGTGAAACCTCTTTGTAACAGCTGCTCACGACCTAAGTCACTCACTGTTGCATATGGTGAAACCTCTTTATAACAACTGTTTACGGTTTAAGTCACTCTCTATTAAATACAGTTTGACCTCTCTATAACAATTATTTAAGTCTAAAGTCATCCTCTGTTGTTTTTAGTGAAACCTCTTTATAACAGCTGTTTAGGGCTACAAGATCTACTTCATAATATGCCTCATGATACCATAAATTAAGATTAAAGTTATGTAATGATAAACATAATTTATATATTAAAAATCATGATAATTTGAAACCCTCTGTAACCGTACTGTAATGACACTGTACAGTACATTCTATTTGACTCCCCATGTTCAGTGTGAAGGGCTATGAACCAGAGACAAGTGTATCTTTTGAACAGTATATTAAATTTAGGAATTAAGAAAGTATTATAACTAAGTGCCAACAAATATAAATGATTTTCTGTTCAAAAGAGTAATCAAAAAATATTTTACTAAATGAATTTTAAATATCCTTGAAGTAGATTTCATTTGTAAGTCTTAATACCAGTGATTCTACTATGCAACGCTACTTACCTAACAATACACACTTATTATTCAGTCAGAATCTAAATCAAAGATAACTTCAGCTACTTCTGGGATAAAAGATATGAAGGATTGATCCAGACATTTCACTTTAGGCCAAGAGTCCATTCTACAAGTCTTACATAATTTGGCACTTTCAATATAGATACAGAACTCATGTCAAATCTTAATTACTAGTGGCTGGGAGTAATTCATGAATTAATTGCACTTTCTTGTTACAACTAAAGGGTGTTTAGAAGCAAACGTCACCATTTCAGGTAGAAAGTAGTGAGCTGCATCATCCCATCAGTGGGTGTGCATCTTACCTATCAACTGGGTTAACCATATTGGATGCCATGCTTCACTTCTCCAGTCCAGTTCCAGGTGACTTCCAAGCTATCATGGTACGAGTTCAGTCATAAATTGGCATTTCCCAATCATGCTTTTATTAATGTCTTTTGTATGTAACTTCAGTGCCTGAAGCTAGCACTAAAGTCTTCCAACAGCCTATCTGACAAACCCCCTCTAGGAATGTTAATCCTGCTTTTGTTGTTATATGTAACAAGGAAACTAACCTTACATACTCCATAATGTCACACAATCCATCAGCTTAGCTTCTTTATCCAGATATAGGCTGACAACAGTGTTTGCTGATGACCAGGTGCCTCTTTTTAGGATGAACTAAATGGACATCCACGGGAAAGGAGCTTCAGCCTTGTTGTCTGATATTTCTCATAATTACTTTGGATATTGAGTTAACCTAACATGACTTGCTAGATGGGTTATTGATATTATATAATGTGAGGTTCCCACATGGATTTAGACATCTGAAAGTGAGCTTTAATTACTGTAGGATGATGTAGCACTGAATTGGACCTGTGATGATTTTAGAAAGGGATTTCTAATAATGATTAATTCACATGTACTGTATTTAGAAAATAATAAACTACATAAAAATTTTAGTTCTAGTTGTAGTTGTAGATGTGTTGTGAGTTGTAGATGTGTTGTGAGTTGTAGATGGTTCAGGCAGTCACTGCAAAAGGCTGCACTATTTACAACATGACACAGGAGCTGCCTCCCCACGATTCATGCAAAATAGGAGAGGTTATTCAGAATCCATGTAGGCTTCTGGCGATTGCATCAAGAAAATCTCTAAAGTTTATTTGAGCTTGATGAATATTTACACACAATACTGTAACAAGGGTACAGTAAAATATGAGCTACACAATACTTTTACTTTTATCCTCTTCGCCACTGATCGGCTCACTAACTGCTTGGGTGGTCAGTCACATCTGTTTTGCTCTGTTGACAAGTACTGGGCATGCACTGGCTCCAGAATGTATGTGTACCTATGCCAGCGTTAGTCAGGTCACACTCAGTGCTGTCACAAAACACTGGCAAATTGTTCCAAGAGTTTATAATTTTCGTTCCCAAATATTTTCCCTCGTAATTTTATGGACTTCTGGCTTCCTCAACCTTGAGCTGTGACCCCAGTGGGGCGGACATCTGCCAGCTCCAGGTATGGACAACAAACTGAGTAGTCCCTTCTGAGATGTTTAAAAACTTCAGTTAGGTCACCACTTGCCCATCTATAGTACTAGCTAGCCAGTTGCAGGCGTTCTAATTACTCGGGTTAACTGAGGTGCTGTAGTGCAGGCACCACCCTGGTGGCCCTCCTTTGGACATTTTCAGTCAACTGACAGTCTCTACCATATCTTGGGAACCAGACGGGTGACAGTACTCCAGACGGGGAAGCACCTCACTCTTGAAGAGCGTTACAAGGGACGGACCATCTAGATATCTGAGCAGCCTTCTTATAAAACCTACTATCTTAGTTGCTTGATTCGCCTTCTTTTCACAATGGCCCGAGAACTTCAGTTTGTTATCAATATACACACTCAGGTCCTTTTTACAGTCAGTGTCTATTAATGCAGTTTCTCTGTCCCGTTGGGACATGTGATTTCCTCCTCACTATTGGTACGACCTGGGTGCATCATCTTACTTCCTGACATAGAATGTTAACGGCCATTTCTTTGACCACTCGTGATGCTGACAGAGATCTTTCTGTGGCTCATTACAGTCCATTTGGTTCTTAATTTTAACCTCTCAAAAATATTATGCATATATACGGTAGTCCAGCCCCTACTTCTTGCATAAATATTCGATCATGAAAACTGGGACTATACTTGAATATTTTTGGTAATTACAATACTGTACAGTTTACCACTAATATATTCCAGCTATATAATAATGTCTTTGTGACTAATTCTGCAAAAGTACAAACAAAAGTTACCCATAATTTTGGTACAGTTATCACAAGAACTGAGAGCAATTGCTGGTTCAACTCAAGCTATGAGATATTAATGTAATAAGGGGAGTTGCAGGTGGGAGTGTCGCCCACATGGAGTCACAACCTCACATTAATTATCTGCACCTCTATTTGTGTTCTCTTCTCTGAGCTGCTTTCTCTTAAAATGCCTTCTTAAATGAGTTGTACCTTAGAAAGATTGCAGCATAGAGAGGTTTTATTACAAATGAGGGAAGTTGTTTACTTTGATTTATTATTTATTACAAGTGTTAGCTGAAGAAACTGTTTTTGTTTCTAAAGTAAGAATGAACTTTATTTCTAGGCAAAATGAGTAATGGATGATGGTCTCAGTTTTTCAGGCCTGAAACTGAATACGTTTAGGGCTAAAGGAAGGACTCTCAATCTTTGTTAAGAATTTCGGACTCAATCTGAGTTGCTCATTTGAGATAATCAAAGGAGATGAAACTGGAACCTCTACTTCAGGCATAGATGGATCTTTGAGATCTTGTCCCTGGTGCAGTAGTTCCTAAACTGGGGGGTGCGAGGTAGAAATTTTTCAATAAAATTTTAGAAAAAATTTAAAAATCTTTGTATATTTTAATCTTCAATACATGTATAAAATAATTATGAGTTAGTTGATCTTAAAAGTAATATAAATATGAGTACTAGGTGTAAAACTGATTAAATTGATTTTATAAAATGCCCCCCCATCATGTAAAAAAGTTTGGGAACATTATTTCAAGACTACCTGTTAGAATCCAGGAATTTAAAGACCAGTTCTAATGCCCAGCACATATTTAAAGGCAACAGACCTTGTTAGAAAGAAAAAGATCTAGAGATATCTTTAAATACCATTGAAAAAAGGTCAGATGCAAAATCATCTCTCAGTGGTCGAGTCAGTAGGTAATGTTTAAGCTGATGATCTTCTATTGAAACTCTAAATAAGGAAATCCACAATCAAAGACCATTTACCAACCAAATGAAAGTTTGGAAATTTCTTAGAAAAAGTAAAGTACTCTTACAGCCACACACCACAGGAGCTCACCACACCATCTTATAGCCACACACCACAGGAGCTCACCACACCATCTTATAGCCACACACCACAGCAGCTCACCACACCATCTTATAGCCACACACCACAGGAGCTCACCACACCATCTTATAGCCACACACCACAGGAGCTCACCACACCATCTTACAGCCACACACCACAGGAGCTCACCACACCATCTTATAGCCACACACCACAGGAGCTCACCACACCATCTTACAGCCACACACCACAGGAGCTCACCACACCATCTTATAGCCACACACCACAGCAGCTCACCACACCATCTTATAGCCACACACCACAGCAGCTCACCACACCATCTTATAGCCCACACCATACACCACAGCAGTTATACAGCCACACACCACAGCAGCTCACCACACCATCTTATAGCCACACACCACAGCAGCTCACCACACCATCTTATAGCCACACACCACAGGAGCTCACCACACCATCTTATAGCCACACACCACAGGAGCTCACCACACCATCTTACAGCCACACACCACAGGAGCTCACCACACCATCTTATAGCCACACACCACAGGAGCTCACCACACCATCTTACAGCCACACACCACAGGAGCTCACCACACCATCTTATAGCCACACACCACAGCAGCTCACCACACCATCTTATAGCCACACACCACAGCAGCTCACCACACCATCTTATAGCCACACACCACAGCAGCTCACCACACCATCTTATAGCCACACACCACAGGAGCTCACCACACCATCTTATAGCCACACACTGGTGGGAGCTCACCACACCCTCTTATAGCCACACACCACAGGAGCTCACCACACCATCTTATAGCCACACACCACAGCAGCTCACCACACCATATTATAGCCACACACCACAGGAGCTCACCACACCACCTTATAGCCACACACCACAGGAGCTCACCACACCCTCTTAGCCACTTTTTTTCTTTTATTCTCTTCACCACTGATCGGCTCGTTAGCCGCTTGGGCGATCGGTCACGTCTCTGTTATGCACTGTTGGCAAGTACTGGGCATGCACCAGCTCCTGAATGTACCTGAACCCGCTCCAGTGTTGGTCAAGTCTTGTCTTGAAAGAGCTTGCACTCGGTGCCTAGCTTATACTACAGACGGGCAAGGGGTGACCTAATAGAGGTGTATAAGCATCTCAAGGGGCACTTCTCAGTCGAGTGTCCTTACTTGGAGCTGGAGGACGCTCGCCCCACAAGGGGTCACAGCTCAAGATTGAAGAAGCTGCAAGTCCAGAAAGCTGTGAGGGCAAACTTTTTTGGAGTGAGAGTTCTTAACTCTTGGAACAATCTACCAGAAAGTGTTGTGACGGCACCGAGTGTGAGCTTTCAAGACCAGACTTGACCAACACTGGAGCAGGTTCAGGTACAATCAGAAGCCGGTGCATGCCCAGTACTTGCCAACAGTGCGTAACAGAGACGTGACCGATCGCCCAAGCGGCTAATGAGCCGATCAGTGGCGAGGAGGATAAAAGTTAAGTAAAAGAAGTGCAGGCACCAGTCTGGTGGCCCTCCTTTGAACATTTTCAACCAACTGACAGTCCCTAGTATGTCTCGGGGACCAGACGGGGTGACAGTTCTCCAGATGGGGAAACACTTCACTCTTGAAGATCATTACGAGGGACAGACCGTCTGGATATCTGAACGTCCTTCTTAGAAGACCCAATAATTTATTTGCCTCATTTACCATCTTCTCGCTCATCGGTCTATAGTTGTTCATGGGCACAGCAGACGGGGTGACAGTTCTCCAGATGGGGAAACACTTCACTCTTGAAGATCATTACGAGGGACAGACCGTCTGGATATCTGAACGTCCTTCTTAGAAGACCCAATAATTTATTTGCCTCATTTACCATCTTCTCGCTCATCGGTCTATAGTTGTTCATGGGCACAGCAGTAAGTGTTGATATCCTCAAATTTTATCATTTTCAATTTAGAAAATTGTGTAACTGATTGTACACTTCATGGTGTTCAGTAGGGTGTTATAGGGGCAGGGTGAAGGACAGGGAGAGGGGCAGGGTGAAGGACAGGGAGAGGGGCAGAGTGAAGGACAGGGAGAGGGGCAGGAAGGAGGAGACAGGGGAGGTGAAGGACAGGGAGGGGCAGAGTGAAGGACAGAGAGGGGCAGGGTGAGGACAGGGAGAGGGGCAGGGTGATGGACCAGTGATGGACAGAGGGGCAGGGTGAAGGACCGGGAGGAGGCAGGGGTGAAGGACAGGGAGAGGGGCAGAGTGAAGGACAGGGGAGAGGGCAGGGGTGAAGGACAGGGAGAAGGGTTGGGTGAAGTACAGGGAGAAGGACAGGGAGAGGGGCAGGGTTATGGGGTAGGGTGAGGTGCAGGAGTGATAAAAGGAGAGAGGATCTGGGTGAGAGAAGGGAGGTTTAGGGGGATGAGTAGCAGGGAGGGGTGAGAGGGTGAGGGGTGAGGTGAACGTTTGGGGGAGGGGTGAGGCCCAAAATGAGGGTTAACCAGTTAGGGGAGAGGAGATTGATTTTGCCGCTTACAGCGGCTAGTTTATTGTGCACCCCACACTCATCCTGTGAGCGGAAGCGTAAAAGGATTACAGAGTAGAGTTTACAAAGGGTCATAATAATTAACCCCCGTTGTCAGGATATCATGGCACTGAATGTTACACACTATTTCAATTACATTATTTGTTCTATACATAAAGGGTAACTTATTCACAAATGCGTGAGTACAGGCGTGTGAGGCAGTATGTCTAGCCTCACACTTTGTTATTCACATTTAAGTGGGAGGTATTCAAGCACATTGTGTATTTGGTTCTGTACATGAGAACTGATATAGTTACTAAGTGCAAAAAAGTGGATACAATCTTAATATGTCGGCTATCTTGCCATTAGAGATGAAGTGTTGTGCCATTTCACACACAATGTGCTTGGACCTGTCCCTAAAAGGTTCTATCTTCACACAGTCGAGGACGTAGTGTTCAAGTGTGTGGCCATATGTATGGCCACACACTTTACATTTAGTCTTGTTTACATCTGCTTGAGGAACATACTGCCAAAGGTACTTATATCCTAACCTTAATCTAGCGGTTACAACATCTTGTAATCTAGTGATCTTGTTACTTGCTCCATATACATGTTTCACTTGATACATCTCATCATGGTAACCTATGGATCGACTAGTGCCTATTTGCACTAGTCTACTTGCGTCAAACTCATCAATAAGTTCTTTCCTAATTACAGTTTTAAGGGTTCTTTTTGACAGACCCAAATTGTATTCAACGGTGTCTTTGTTAGACGCGAGTTTGGCGAGAGCATCAACTCTGTCATGTTTTATGAGGCCTATGTGAGAGGATCCACAACAGTTTGACCCTGACACCCGGGTCAACAAGGCGCATATTTGTGTCTGGCTTCAGAGACAAGAGCGTGACAACCTGAGTCGAGGGTGTCAAGGGCAAGTAGTGAGGATAGAGAGTCAGTGATGATGAGACTGTCAGTAACAGTGGTTTCAATGAATTTAATAGCTGTGAGTATGGCAACTAATTCATTTTGTAGAGTGGATGCCCAGTTGTTAATTCTAACTCCTTTCTCAATTATATTACCGTCAGGTTGAGTCACAACAATAGCACTTCCAGCCCTCCCACAGGCGGTGTTAAGAGATCCATCAGTGTAGATGGTCTGTGTGATATTATCATCAGTTTGTAGAGTGTGTATGTTCAAGAGCTCTCAATTTGGCAGTGTGTTGGAGATAAATGCTAGGCAAGGGAGGGGGTGGGAGGTGACATGAGGGGAAGGGTTATGGGATGGTTGTCATGGTGATGGCGTCCCATGTGTGTGTGTCTTGCGCAGTGTATCTTCGTGCTGGTACTCTCACGCCACTGCCTCACGTACAAACTATTATTGAAACAGTTTACTAGCGTGCTTCATATCTTGTTTTATAAACGGAGATGTTAAATTATATATATATATATATATATATATATATATAGGAATTATAGTGAGTAAAACTGAGCTTATAATTGAAATACGAAAGGATAAATCATAATTTAAATCATGCGGTACGATATTTGTTTCACTCAGGTTATCCGGCACTGCTCACACCACAACACTTGTACGGGTTCCGGTGACGACGGTGCATGAAAGCTCCTACTCTCTGCTTAGTTAACACTCTTGCATATGAAGTTTCTGAAGTTACTCTAGTAAATATCAACTTTTATACACAAAATTAACTTGTTAACCATGCCGAGTTAAAACAGTTAACGAGAATAATACATCTACTTCTGTAACATAATCCCTCGTTATACATTCTAAATGTGGTATCAGAGAAGGTTGACTTGCTGCATGTTACCGTTTTCACTCGGCAAGTGAAATTATATTGTGCGGTGATCGCTAACGGGTGTTAAGTTATATAAAGGTCGCCGTACTAGCGAGGATGACTAGCAAAGTGCAGCCCAGCGAAACGACGGACACCACCACCAAGATAGAGAGTAGAGTGGGTCCTGACACCAAGTTCATCACAAACAACAAGGGAAAACGAATACATTGTAGCTACTGGAGACCCTCTGATGACGTACAAATAAGGTCAGTTACTTATCATTAATGAGAACCATTAGTAAGTACTGTACCACAAGATGTCCTCAGTGGATGACTAAGGCTGAAGAGTGGCTTTGCCCCTAAGTTACTACAGTACACTGACGAGTCGTGTACTGTGCTCCCGGTATAACACTCGTATAATTTCTACGTCTTCCATACAGGGTGTTAACCCACACTTCATACTCTAAAATGCTACTGTTAAATACAGGTTAGAACGAGATAGAAAAAGATTGATTTATGGTACAGTGAAACGGTAAATGGGGGTTCAAAAAGAGATCACTGCACTTGTCATGTTACTAAAACTGGCGACCGGACAGTCCCCCTAGTGAGACCAGCAGTGGTGCTACCTCACCCTAGTAAGATTTAGTGGTACTACCTCACTCTTGTGAGACTCACAGTAGTACTACCTCACACTAGTGAGATTTACAGTAGTACTACCTCACCCTGTTGAGATTTACAGTAGTACTACCTCACCCTGTTGAGATTTACAGTAGTACTACCTCACCCTGTTGAGATTTACAGTAGTACTACCTCACCCTGTTGAGATTTACAGTAGTACTACCTCACTCTAGTGAGACTTGCAGTAGTACTAACTCACAATGGCACTAGGTTTGAGTTGACCAAGGTTGGGTTGATAAGGGGTTGTCTCGTAAAATTATCGTTTCGGTCATCCACCAGTTTGGAAGTTGAAGTTATGTTCTCTCAGTGGTTTTTGATGTGTATTGGACGATTCCGACCTGCATTTCTACCGCAAATCACTACTTCCTGAGCTACCCCTCCCCTTAACCAACGATAATGAGGGACCCCCAGTGTGAACCAGGGGGTTGTGTGTAGGGGAAAATCACAAAAAGTAGTAATTTGCGATAAAACTAAAGTTCAGAATCATTCAAAACCCACCAAAAACCACCGGAAAAACATAACTTCAACCTAACCTAACGGATAAAAATGGTCACAGAACTGCTTCTCAAATGCAACTAACCTAACCTAACCTAACCTAAACTAAACTACCGATTCCAAAACTTAAAATCCTAAAATTCGCTATATGACCGAAACGATAGTAATACCTACTTCACCAGGGGTTGAATTGACCGACCGCCGACTGGCAAACCTTTTCAAGTTGAATGTGTCTGGGTGACGTGAACAATAATTGGTATCGGTGATGTAGAGGTAGTGATGGGGTAATAGGGGTGGTGATGGGGTAATAGGGGTAGTGATGGGGTAATAGGGGTAGTGATGGGGTAATAGGGGTAGTGATGGTAATAGGGGCAGTGATGGGGTAATAGGTAGATGGGGGTAGTGATGGGGTAATAGGGGTAGATGGGGTAATAGGGGTAGTGATGGGGTAATAGGGTGGTGAGTGGTGGGTAATAGGGTAGTGATGGGGTAATAGGGTGGATGGTAATAGGTAGTGATGGGGGCTGTGGGGTGTGGATGGGGGCATAGGTGATGGGGTAATAGGGTAGTGATGGGGTAATAGGTAGGAGGGCAATAGGGTAGTGATGGGTAATAGGGTAGTGATGGGGTAATAGGGTAGTGTAATGGGGTGATGGGGGTAATAGGGGGTGGTGATGGGGTAATAGGGGTTGATGGGGTAATAGGGTAGTGATGGGGGTAATAGGGGTAGTGATGGGTAATAGGGTGATGTATATAGGGTAGTGATGGGGTAATAGGTGGTGATGGGGTAATAGTGGGGTATTGTAGTGATGGGGTAATAGGGGTAGTGATAATAGTAGTGATGGGGTAATAGGGGTAGTGATGGGGTAATTGGGGTAGTGATGTGTAATTGGGTAGTAGTAGGGTGAATGGGGTACTCGCCAGTAATTGGTCATCTTGTTTGTCAGGAAATATTGATGAGGTATATATTTTGTGGCAGAGTTAAAGTTGTAGTGAGAGACCTTGGATAGTTAGTTGTCCAACTTCACTCTGGCAGTGGTTAATAGTGCCACTACTACTACTACAGCAATGGTTGATGGTTCCTTTACCAGGGTGGTAGGTGTAACACAGGGTGGTAGATGTAACACAGGGGGGTAGATGTAACACGGAGTGGTAGATGTAACACGGAGTGGTAGGTGTAACACGGAGTGGTAGATGTAACACGGAGTGGTAGGTGTAACACGGAGTGGTAGATGTAACACGGAGTGGTAGGTGTAACACGGAGTGGTAGGTGTAACATGGGGTAGATGTAACATGGAGTGGTAGGTGTAACACGGGGTGGTAGATGTAACACAGGGTGGTAGATGTAACATGGAGTGGTAGGTGTAACACGGAGTGGTAGATGTAACACAGGGTGGTGTGTAACATGGGGGTAGATGTAACACAGTAGATGTAACACAGGGTGGTAGGTGTAACACAGGTGTAACACAGGTGTACAGGTGGTAGGTGTAACACAGGGTGGTAGGTGTAACACAGGGGTGGTAGGTGTAACACAGGGTGGTAGATGTAACACAGGGTAGTAGGTGTAAACAGGTGGTAGGTGTAACACAGGTGGTAGGTAACACAGGGTGGTAGGTGTAACACAGGGTGGTAGGTGTAACACAGGGTGGTGATGTACACAGGGTGGAGGGTGTAACACAGGGGTGGTGGGGTGTAACACAGGGTGGTAGGGTGACACAGGTGGTGTAACACAGGGTGGTAGGTGTACACAGGTGGTAGGTAACACGGAGTGGTAGGTGTAACACAGGGTGGTAGGTGTAACACGGTGGAGATGTAACACAGGTGGTAGATGTAACACGAGTGTAGGTAACACTGGGTGGTAGATGTAACATGGAGTGGTAGATAACACGGAGTGGTAGATGTAACACGGGGTGGTAGGTGTAACATGGGGTGGTAGATGTAACACGGGAGTGGTAGGTAACACGGAGTGGTAGATGTAACAGGGTGGTAGGTGTAACACAGGGTGGTAGGTGTAACACGGTAGATGTAACAGGGTGGTAGATGTAACACGGAGTGGTAGGTGTAACACAGGGTGGTAGGTGTAACACAGGGTGGTAGGTGTAACACAGGGTGGTAGGTGTAACACAGGGTGGTAGGTGTAACACGGAGTGGTAGGTGAACAGGTGGTAGGTGTAACATTGGGTGGAGATGCAACAGGGTGGTAGATGTAACACGGAGTGGTAGATGTAACACGGAGTGGTAGATGTAACACGGTAGGTGGTGTAACACGAGTGGTAGGTGTAACACGGGGTGTAGGGTGTAACACAGGGTGGTAGGTGTAACACGGTGTGGTAGATGTAACACGGTGGTAGATGTAACACGGGTGGTAGATGGGGTGTAGATGATGGTGAGGATGTAACATGGGGTGGTGGTGTAACACAGAGTGGTAGATGTAACACAGGGTAGGTGTAACACAGGGTGTAGGTGTAACACAGGGTGGTAGATGTAACACAGGGTGGTAGATGTAACACAGGGTGGTGGTGTACACAGGGTGTGGGGTGTAACACAGGTGGTAGGTGTAACACAGGGTGGTAGGTGTAACACAGGGTGGTAGAGGTAACACAGGTGGTAGGTGTAACATGGGGTGTGGTGTAACACAGGGTGGTAGGTGTAACACAGGGTGGTAGGTGTAACACAGGGTGGTAGGTGTAACACAGGGTGTGGTAGGTGTAACACGGAGGGTAGGTGTAACACGGGGTGAGGTGTAACACAGGGTGTGGTAACATGGTAGGTGTAACACAGGTGGTAGGTGTAACACAGGGTGGTAGGTGTAACACAGGGTGGTAGGTGTAACACAGGTGTAAATTGGGTGGGTGTAACACGGTGGTAGATGTAACACAGGGTGGTAGGATGCACAGAGTGGTAGGTGTAACACAGGGTGGTAGGTGTAACACGGTGGTAGATGTAACACAGGGTGGTAGATGTAACACAGGGTAGGTGTAACAGGAGTGGGTAGGTGTAACAAGGGTGGTGAGGTGTAAACATAGGTGGTGTAACACAGGGTGGTAGGTAACACAGGTGGTAGGTGTGAACACAGGTGGTAGTGGGTGTAACACAGGGTGGTAGGTGTAACACGGTGGTAGATGTAACACGGGTGGTAGATAACACGGGGTGGTGAGATGTAACAGGGTGGTAGGTAACACAGGGTGGTAGGTGTAACACAGGGTGTAGAGTGTAACATGGAGTGGTAGGATGTAACACAGGGTGGGTAGATGTAACACAGGGTGGGGTGTAACACAGGTGGTAGGTGTAACACAGGGTGGTAGGTAACACAGGGTGGTAGGTGTAATGCGGGTGGTAGGTGTACACAGGTGGTAGGTGGGGGGTAACACAGGGGTGGTAGATGTAACACAGAGTGGTAGGTGTAACACAGGGTGGTAGGTGTAACAGGGTGGTAGATGTAACACACAGAATTAGTAGGTGTAACATGGGGTGGTAGATGTAACACAGGTGGTAGAGTGTAACACAGGTGGTGGATGTAACACAGAGTTGGTGGGTGTAACACAGGGTTGGTAGGTGTAACACAGGGTTAGTAGTGTAACACAGAGTTGGTAGATGTAACACAGGTGGTAGGTGTAACACAGGGTGGTAGATGTAACACAGGTGGTAGGTGTAACACAGGGTGTGGAGTGTAACACAGGGTGGTGGGTGTAACACAGGTGGTAGAGTGTAACACAGGGGTGGTAGATGTAACAACACAGGGTGGTGGAGTGTAACACAGAATTGGTAGGTGTAACACAGGGTGGTAAGGTGTAACACAGGGTGGTAGATGTAACACAGGGTGGTGGGTGTAACACAGAATGGTAGGTGTAACACAGGGTGGGTGTAACACAGGGTGGTAGATGTAACACAGGTGGTAGGTGTAACACAGGGTGGTAGGTGTAACACAGGGTGGTAGGTGTAACACAGGGTGGGTGGTAGATGTAACACAGTGGTAGGTGTAACACGGTAGATGTAACACAGGTGGTAGGTGTAACACAGGGTGGTAGGTGTAACACAGGGTGGTAGGTGTAACACAGGGTGGTAGGTGTAACAGAATTGTGAGTGTAACACAG